TATGTGTTTATTAGTATGTGTGATATTTGATGGGAAGAGAACGGAGGAAACTTACATTGCAACTTGGCATCAGCATAGATATCATACTCTCTATCGGTACTGTCCTTGCCTTGATCCTCATCTTGGGTCTTCTTCTCAACACTTGACTCAAGCAATTCTTCCTCCTTAGGAACTGCATCAGTAGGCTCAGTGGCGAGTGCTTTTGGACTATCACCCTCCTCTACATCAGCCTTGAAAGGAGTCTTAGCAACTGGAGTGTGAGTTTCCTTGCTTGACGCAGGTGGAGGTGTAATGCTTGGTGTTGGAACGTCCTTAGGTGCACCGATGGATTGTGCGGATGATTTACCAGCATACATAGGTCTTGGGCCACCGCCATTGATCGATGAAGCGCTTGAGACATAGCCGGAAGATGGTAGAGTACGCTTCTTCAAGGTGCGTTCACGCGCGACGTTGGTGTCAGCTACAAGAAGAGCTTCTTGATCGACGGTGAATTGAATAGGTGCTGAAGCAGCCATAGTACGTAAATAATACATTCCGGTCTTCAAGCCCAATTTCCAACCGGCAAAGTGCATAGATGTGATCTTGCCCATTGTAGGATCCTTCATGTGAATGTTCATTGATTGAGATTGATCGATAAACGCACCACGATCAGCTGCCATTTGAACGATTGTTCGTTGAGAAATTTCCCAAACGGTCTTGTAAAGAGCCTTGATGTCAGCTGGAATGTTGGGGATGTTTTGAATAGATCCACCGTCAGCGATGATACGGTTCTTCATGTTGTCGGACCAGAGACCCATATCGACAAGGTCCTTGAGGAGCCATGGGTTGACGACTTGGAACTCTCCAGCAAGAACACGACGGGAATAGATGTTCGAAGTGTAAGGCTCGAAACATTCATTGAAGCCAAGAATTTGGGAAGTACTGGCAGTTGGCATAGGTGCAACGAGAAGCGAGTTGCGAACTCCGTGTTGCTTGATGGATTGCTTCAAAGAATCCCAATCCCACAAGTCAGTAGGTGTAACACCCCACATGTCATATTGGAGTTCACCCTTGGAGACTGGGGAGCCTTGATAAGTTTCGTATGGGCCAAGTTCCTTTGCAATCTCGACGGATGAGGTCAAGGCAGCATGGTAGATGGTCTCGAAAATTTGAATGTTGAGGTGCTTGGCTTCTGGGGAGTCAAATGGAAGACGAAGGGCCAAGAAAGCATCAGCAAGACCTTGAACACCAACAGCGATAGGTCGGTGACGGAAATTGCTTTTTCTGGCTTCTGGAACGGGATAATAGTTGATGTCAATGATCTTGTTCAAGTTTCTAACAACAACTTGAACAACCTCGTGAAGCTTCTGGAAATCATAAGTTCCCTCATTCATGTTGACAAAAGTTGGTAAAGCAATGGAAGCCAAGTTACAACAAGCAACCTCATCCGGTGCAGAGTACTCGACAATCTCTGTGCACAAGTTGGAACTGCGAATAGTACCAAGGTTCTTTTGGTTGCTCTTCTTGTTGCATGCATCTTTGTAAAGCATGAAAGGGTTTCCGGTCTCGGTTTGAGCCTCAAGAATAGAGTACCAAAGCTTTTGTGCCTTGATAGTCTTGCGACCCTTGCCTGCCTTCTCATAACTTTCGTAGAGAGCCTCGAACTCCTCGCCATAAACATCTGCCAAGCCAGGGCACTCATTCGGGCACATCAAAGTCCACTCTCCATTCTTTTCAACACGCTTCATGAATAGATCAGGAATCCACAAGGCATAGAAGAGATCGCGTGCACGAACTTCTTCCTTACCGTGGTTTTTGCGCAGATCAAGAAACTCGAAAACATCCGCATGCCATGGTTCAAGGTAGACAGCAAAAGCACCAGGGCGCTTGTTACCACCTTGGTCAACATATCTGGCAGTGTTGTTGAAAACTCGGAGCATAGGAACAATGCCGTTGGAGTTTCCGTTGGTACCAGCGATGTATGCACCAGTAGCACGAATTCTGTGAATGTTAAGACCAATACCACCAGCATTCTTTGAGATCATGGCACAAATCTTCAAAGTATCGTAGATACCATCAATACTGTCCTCCTTCATATCGATGAGGAAGCATGATGAAAGTTGTGCTTGTGGAGTACCTGCAGAGAAGAGTGTTGGGGAAGCGTGTGTAAAGTACTTGTTGGACATCAAGTTATAAGTTTCGATAGCACTTTCGATGTCATCACCGTGAATACCAACAGCAACACGCATGATCATCTGCTGTGGACGCTCTGCAACTTTGCCATCAAGACGTAAGAGATATGATCGCTCGAGGGTCTTGAACCCGAAATATTGGTAGTTGAAATCTCGGTCATAGACAATGGCAGAGTTGAGTTCCTCTTCATGTCTCATAACACATTCGTAAGTTTGCTTGCTAATCATAGGAGATGCTGTGCCATTTCTTGGGTTTGTATATTGGTATAAATCGCGGATAACGTGGGAAAATTGTTTCTTGGTTTGTTTGTGAAGGTTTGAGACTGCAATACGAGCAGCTAGAATGGCATAATCGGGATGGGTGACTGTCATATATGCAGCAGTTTCTGCGGCCTTTGGATGAAGTCAGCAGTATTCCTTGGTGCGAGAACTAGTCTCGGTGCGTTCTCGTGAGGGAGGGGTCAACTTACGAGGTTGTCAAGCTCAATAGTATTAACACCTTGGTAGACACCAGAAATGACCTTTTGGGTAATGGCAGCAGCATCTATGTGATCAGGGTCGAGACCATAACACAATCTTGACACACGAGCTGTGATTTTATCGAATTGAACGCGTTCCTTACGTCCATCTAAATGTAATGAGTACAGGCAATAAGAGGGACTTTCAATCAGTGTACATACCTCTCTTATAGACATACATGATGGCGACGGTTTTGTTCGTAGATTCCGTTGTAAATTTTGGAGGGGTTAATCAAACCGGACGGTGAAGAAAAACGATGAGTGGAAAGCAAACCACAATTAAATTAGAATAAATAAATAAACCTGATTACAGTCAAGCCTACAATCAATCTACCTTTGAATAGAAAAAGAGAGGATGTATTGTAGATTGAAATGTAGGAGGAGATCGTTCTTGAGGAAAAAACAAAGGAAGAGTTTATGAGAATGGATCCCAAGTGTTTTTAAGAGGGAACACTTTACGCGACTTTTCCACACTTCGCAAGGACGCGTTGAAAATAAGTGCTAATTGGTAATCTAGCGTGCACAATACTATGCTAGCGTGTTTTTTACTGGAACAAGGATGGGCAGTAAGTGGTTGGAACTTTGACTAAAAGGCTGCAAAGTTACATGAGTGAATCCAGTTAATTCATTATCTTGCTGTAATAGATATATGTGGGAAGATGGGGGCGAGGGGGCAAGAGAGAAGCATGGCAGTATATTATATGTCACAGACTGTCTAGATATTGTAGATGTTGGCGAGGTACGTACTTTGACAGTTGGAACTGTAATGAAAAAGCATAGCTATCTAATCGTACTAGGTAGCTTTTGCACTACTGATTTGCGTCCCCCAGTCGACGATTAGATTCGTCTCAAATTATCCATTTGCCCGCACCAATGTTCCACTCCTTTTTGTGCTGCCAATATGGGTTACGTTTCGTTGCTCAATCCTTCAAGTCCGAAATCGCATGCTTCATTCCTTTCTTGTCTCTAACGCCGATCATTATTCATCTCTCACAGGGTATATCAGTTATCTAGACCATTACTGCCTATTGTCCATAGCAACCATACTATATCTTTAACTCCTCTCCCTGGTACCTGCATATCTCACAGGCTGTCCCCCTTTACATGGTACTACAGGTTTTCTAATCGGCATAAAAACATCCAACATCTTGGCTTGTCCAAAAGCAAGCAAAGAGGAAGATGTCCAATACACCAACATTGCACTCGGCATCTGCAACGTAAGTGGGATGATTGCAAGAGCGACTACCTTCAATGAATTCATTAATCTCCTCATGAATACACTTTTAGGTTTCCCCTGGCTTGTGAGATTCAATAAGATGGACCCAGAGAGCATGAAAGGTAGTATCAACATTGGATCCGAAATGAGAAGATTGGGAAACCACAATGCCCCTTCTGTCGCGAAGGTTGGCTCTAATAGTAGAGAGCCCAGGTCCAGATCCGTGGTAGCCGTTGCCTCGTTTGCGTTACTCGATGTGAACAGCGATTCGATCCATTTCAATAATCCATCATGTGCGCCGCACATTTTTCGAATCGTCTCTACAGCGATCATCCAGACGGGCAATTGCAAAAATGGCAGATAATGTTTCCAAGTACCACAATTGTATCTTGAATAGAGTTCCCTCTTCTTCTTCTTCATTTTATCCTTAACAAACTGATTTGCCGCATCCGGTCCTAAATGGCCAACCTCTTGTATTGATTGTTTTCTAAATTGATGCTGCCATGCATTCATGAGGGGCATTAAGTCGATTTGTTTTTGTGCAGCTCGTCGTGAATTGATGCCGAGTGGGAAGATAAGGACAGTCCGAATAGCTAAAGCAGTGAGAGGTAGTGTAAAAGCCCATGGCAGGCCAGTAAAAGAGTGCAGTCCTTCTAGAACTCCGTGTGTAGCTATTAATACAGAATCGAGAGACTGAGTTCGTGGGGAGGCATGGAATGATCGATAAGTCGAAGGAAGTTGCAAGAATAATCTCGGGATTTTTGAGCTGGTAGAAGGATGCATTAACGTGCGGGCCGGCTGAAACAATGTAGACATCGTGATTTGACTTCTACTCTCTGCGTCGTAAAGAGACAATCAAATCAAGAGCAACGATCGATCAAATTCTCTATCTTCTTGTCAACATGGCTTAAACATTTGATTTTCTCAAGTCAAAAGTTCCGTTCACATGTCATCCTTGAAAAAAGAGGTCCCGCATCGGTGTACGCGGCCGCACGCTCCACCGCCTGCGCGTCACAGCTAAAGTGACACAGTAACCCTGGAAACTCGAGATAAAACCGCCCTCCCCTCTCTTCTTACTTGTACGTTCAAAAAGTTATGGCGGAATCATGCAAAGCTTCAGACGGTAGCGATATGTGGACATTTGGGCTGGATACCAAATGGACAATTCTAGTAGCCTTGATTCTTGGTGCGACACCTTTGATTGTTCTTTTAGGAGGCCCGAAGCTTGTAGGTTACGTCGGACGCACGGTGGGGTTCTACTTGAGGCAAAAGACAGCTGGGAGGAAAGCTCAAGTTCTGGAAAGGGTGGAGATTGATCAGAGAGATTATAGGGAGAACAAGGAAAAGAGTCGGGATAGTGATGATTGGGAGAATATAGAATCTACGAGTGGAACGGGAGAGAAGGATGATAAGGAATGGGATGGCATTGTTGGATTCTTTCACCCCTTCTGGTATGAAGATGTTTTTTTTGCTTGAATTCATACTGACTTGGCTGACGTTAATTCAGTAATGCTGGAGGTGGTGGTGAACGTGTTTTATGGGCTGCAGTTTTAGCAACCCAAAAACGATGGCCAAATGCGAAATGTATTGTCTATACTGGAGATCATGATGTGGATAAGTCGCAGATCATTGCTAGAGTGAAGGTATGGAGTGGCTACTATACTTACAGAATGCGCCGGCTGATTATAGCTAATAGGATCGTTTCAACATTCAACTCCATCCACCAACGATTACCTTCTTATACCTCACAACTAGACATTGGGTTTTAGCTTCCACATGGCCCCATTTCACACTTCTAGGTCAATCAATTGGATCTCTCATACTTGCATGGGATGCGTTCTCTCTGGTTGTCCCCGATATTTTTGTGGATACAATGGGCTATGCTTTTGCGCTTGGGTTCTGCAAGATTTTGTTCCCTGAAGTACCGACTGGAGCCTACGTACATTATCCGACCATTTCGACAGATATGCTAGGCTCTTTAGATCCTACATCTGCCACCGGGAAGCAAGGGGTGAACGCTGGAAAAGGAACAGGATTAAGAGGAGAGGCAAAGAAGCTCTATTGGAAGTTATTTGCGAAATTTTACACCTGGGTCGGAGCATCAATTGATGTAGTTCTCACAAATTCTAATTGGACACTCGATCATATAACATCACTATGGGGAGAATGGCGACGCGAATTAAAGAAGCCCATCGCAACAGCAGTCTTCCCTCCTGTAGCCGTCGAAGAGCTCGAGGAGAAGATCTCTGTTACCCCCGAATCCGAAGCGATACGTCAACCAGCTCTTCTTTATATTGCGCAATTCCGCCCTGAGAAAAATCATACACTCATTTTAACCGCCTTCGCCGCTTTCAAAGCCACTAAATCCCCAGCAGCTAAAGGCGCGAAACTTATCCTTATCGGGAGTGTTCGCGATGACTCTGATTCAAAGCGCGTATATCAATTGCGCCTGCTGGCAAACGAACTACAAGTCAAAGACGATGTTGAATTCCATTTGGATGCGCCTTGGCCGGATATTCTGAAATGGTTAGGCAAAGCCAGTGTTGGAGTCAACGGGATGTGGAATGAGCATTTTGGAATCGGAGTTGTGGAGTACCAGGCGGCAGGATTGATTAGTGTTGTTCATGATAGTGGTGGCCCAAAGAGAGATATTGTTACAAAAATTGATGGTTTGCCTACGGGTATGTTTTTACTTCCTTTTTCTTGCCCCTTTCCATCTCGCTTGTTTGGAGCAAAACTAATCCCTGGATGTAGGCTTTCATGCATCGACAGTAGAACAATTTGCTGAAGGTTTCGAGAGCGCACTAGCACTACCCCGAGAAGATAAGATAGCGATGAGATTGAGAGCGAGGAAATCGGCTCAAAGATTTACAGAAGCGGAGTTTGCGAAGAAGTGGATTGTAGGTATGGAAGAGTTAGTGACATTAAGGAGGAAATGGGAAGGGATTAGGAGAACTCAATAGAAAGTCTGGATTGAATATAATTCATATGGTTCAATGTTATGACTTGTTGGTGGTCGGGAATTGACAGAATACATATGCAAATAAATGTATAGCAAACACCAACATATATAAGAAACTGTTCACGGTATACTTGGGACGATACTGCAACATTGTAGACTTCAGACGGAGGAAAATGATGACATCAGATCAACAACTCTCTCGTCTAAGATAAATAAATGAATGATTGTGTGTGGTTTCTATGATTTCGTTGATGTGGTAGATGCGAAACCGTCTGTCTTTCTAGGCAAATCTAGAAGTTGATCTGAGTAATATCACCTCTAACTATATCCATATTCACCCTATATACCCCATCCAAAATTCTATCGGCATTTCTGTAAAGAAAAGAAATTCTAATGATCTTCGTTCTAGATCATGAGCTTCATATGATGAAGCTCAACCAAGGTTAGCAGTCGCGAAAGAGGGGGTTTGTACAATTTAACCGCGCGAAGCGCACCTTCCTCCATCCGCCTCCACCAACTCAATTTCTTCAAGACACTCATACACCAACTCCCCCGCTCGCCTTCTGTCTCGGCTCTCCAATAGCCTCCAACCATCCTTCTCCAGCCAGTCCTTCTCCCTCAATCGAGAGATCACCCCAAACTCTCACACCTTGTACAGCACTCTCTCTTCCACTTGCTTTCCCAACTTTGTGTCCTCTTTCCTTCAAATATTCCTGCAATTCTTCATCAAATCCCGGTTCTACGGTCGTTTTTTCGGGTAGTAATTGATCATGCATTCTAGGTTGCTTTAGTGCTTCTTCGAGAGACATGCCGTGATCGATTATGTTGATGATGGCTTGGATTGTTGACGTGGGGATTCGTGATCCACCGGCGGCGCCGATGGAAAGGAAGTGGGAGCCATTGGGGTGGGAGATGTGAATGGGGGAGATGGAACTCATGGGGCGCGCACTGATGTTAATGGTTAATGAATGGTAGATCTGTACGCAAAGGGAGGCTCGGACTTACCCAGGACGAACATAGTTCATAGGTGAAGGGACGAAACCAAAGTAATTGGGAACGCCAGGGATGGAGAAATCGTCCATTTCGTTATTAAGAATAACCCCTGTAAAATTGTTAGCAAAGTTATTGATTCAATGTGTTTCGAACGTGGGCGAAAAGAGACGGATTAGTTCCGCAAGTCATGAACTAAAAACAAGAAAAGAATTATTCAGGATAACATACCAGTCTCAGGAACCATAACGGCAGAACCGAAAAGTAAATTGACGGTTGATGTTGAGGTTATTGAAAGGCCAGAAGCGTCGGTAGCAACCATATGCGATGTCCCATGATTTTCCATGATATCCCACCTTTCTGGATTGTACCTTCCAACATCTTGTGTCTTATCGTCTAGGATCTTTCGTCTATTAGAATCTGCAGTCTCAGCTGAAATGATTCCTTCTTCGAATCTAATCATCTCGTCAAAGAATGACGGGTCTCCTAGCTCGGAATGAGCGGCATATGAAAAACGCATGGCTTCATCGAGTCGATGGGTATTCAGAAATAAATCGGATTCTGTATACATGTCATACCCTTCAATGGTCTTAAGAATGCTCAGGGCTATGGAACCGCCGGAGGGAGTACCGGTTGAATGGATAGTGTAGCCACGATAAGTGATGTTGATCGGATTACGAATCTTGATTTCGTAATCTTTGAGATCAGCCAGAGTCATGGTTCCATTTGTGGCCTTTATGGTCGCAATAGTTGCTTCTGCAATTTCCCCTTCGTAGAATGCCGAAGCTCCTTTGTTAGCAATCGTCTCTAGCGTATTGGCATATCGCTCTCTTTTCATTATATCACCCAATTCAAGGAGTGTGCCGTTCGGAGCGAAGTCCATAGCCCAGTTTGGATCCTCTTCAAGAAAATTCCAACCGACTTGATTCTTAACTGCTTGCATGTAGTAAACTGTATCTTCCGTTACTAGTCCAGATTAGTGACGTACATAAAAAATTGTGAAAGGTACATACCAGGAAAACCATTTCTAGCAATATGTACAGCTGGATTGCAAACGATCTGCCAAGGCAGTTGCTGATGAATATTAGTTAAGCCTCATCATCTCAAAGTGAAGAAGTACATACCCCATATTTATTATGAAGATATTCAAGTCCTCGAAGGTCACCCGGAACAGCAACTGCATCTCCACCGACCACGGCTTTTCTGCGATCCTGTTTAAACATGTCACGATATGCAGCGGCTGGAGCTGTCTCTCTATAGTCTGCTGGAGTGTAAGTTATGTGAAAACAAAGTGAAACTCTCATGGATCGTACCTATGGTTTCGTATTCCCCTTCTGAGCTACGTACTAGCATAAAGCCCCCTCCACCTATACCACTATGATACATTCCTTAAGTGAATTTGTAAGCCTAATACAGGGGGGGGGCGATTCTTAAAAATGAGGAACTGCCTTACCGATGACACCAACGCATAGAGTGGTACCAACCATAGCATCTGCGGCATTTCCCTATACCATCCACGTGATAAGTCTCGAATCACCTATCAATAGCGAAGTCACTTACACCTCTCTCTATAAGTTCCGCTCCAACCTCACTGCATATTTTGCTTTCACTCGCCACTGCTCCACGATTGCCAGTGTTTGTGACAGTGGAAGAGCTAACACCATGCAAGATCCAGAGCATGAAGACCCAGCAAAGACGGCTTAAGCTAATTCCGCTCATGTTGAAAGACTGTAAATCTAGGTTGATTGTATCAGCATATGGTAGTTATATCTACTTCATACCAAAATGGTTTGCATACTTGTATTTCTCGAGATGATTTATTCCCTTGACCGCATGGGACGAACAAACAGTAACGAAGACAAGACCGCTAGTTACCTCAAAGTGCTATAAACCCATGAAATTATGTGACAATAGTGGGCCTCGGGTGTTCTCTGGTCTGATATTGTTGAAACACTTTGAAAGTAATTCACGAGCGTGAAATTTTAGCTCGGCGGATATGTTATCGAATAATAAAGGAACGAAGTTCAACATGATTGCGAAGTTTTGTCTTATCTCAGTCATGGCGGAGCTTATTCTGCTAGTGGCGGACAAGTCAGTCAAACCCAAAGCATTACCTGTAAGTTATCATTTCGCGAAACAATTATGGATCAGACTAAAGTAGAAGCCAGATAGCGGTTAACGCGTAAGATAGCGCTTGTGATTGATTTTCAGATTAATGATTGGTCAAGTTTTTCAATGCCCAATGTATGTTAATCAGGTGATCACGTGTCGCCACTTCCTTTATTTTTTGATGGATTATCAAGAAGTAACAATTAGTGAGCTCCTGACACTTGAATCCTACCTCTTTCAACCCCATTTCACTTTGATACATATTTACATATCACCATCACCATCACCATCACTATCACCGATGTGAGATGCCACACTCGCTCACTCATCCATCCACTTGCTCACTCTCTCAACTCGACATCAAGAAATCATAGATCAAGGCTTTGGGGAACCTTAGGCAAAGCCTAGAATATTCTTAGGCTGAAGTTTTTCAACCAGAAACCGTGTCACTTGCCAGCAGTTAGATCAAATCTCACCACATCATTTTTCTTTCTACTCGTCACATTCTTGGCATGAGTAGGGCGACGGTCCGATTACCTATTAAATGGATATATCTCGTGCAGTAGATTCTGATATCCTCAACATCGAGTAGGACAAGACGTTTTCAGTGGCTTCTAAGGCGCAATTCTCATGATCACTGACACCCACGGGAAACTCCAATGTCATATGCAGAGCACAAGACCATGTGGCTGCCGGATATTTACTGACATGCATAGACGGTCAATAGCTTTGTCAAGATAAGGCTGAAAATTGTACATTTGAAACATGGAACAATACGTTCCGTGAAATGCCACACTCTTGAGAACACAACATACATTCTGATTCAAATGCAAGAGCCTGGTGAGCATAACAAGCTGAATAACCCGACTTTCAGCCTGGAACGTCATGGCATCGCGTAAAGACATCCCGGCCAGCAAGTGTCCGTGAGTATCATTGCTGATGCTTACTCAACACAATCATAAGTTACTAGTCACGAGACTCGAAGTTTGGGCGTAGAATTTATTTGTGATTGACATAATACTCTGATTGCTAGCAATATAACTTCGAAAAGCGGGTCTGAAGACCATTAAGACTTACTCCGAATGATTTATGCCACGCTTGCAGTGGAGATCAATCAGATTACTAAAATAATGAGTATAGAAGAAGAAACGATAGCCGAGTAGATCGTCAGAACCAGCCTGATTCAGAACTTCTCTTGCTCTCCAAATGCTTGATGGCATGAGAAGTTATTGAAGAGACTCACCTTATGGAGTGCATCAACTTTATGTTCCTTGGTCGTTTTATAACACAAACAAGATTGCTATTTTGCTCCCATTTAAATGATGCCCCCATTCGTCGATTCTCTACGCCTATGCAATATCTTAGGAAACAGCTTTGTGTTTGTTTTGTTCTGATGATTTACTACGGGGTTTTTTTTAAATACTTGCTGTTGTATCTGCTTTGGCTGTTTGAAATATTCAAGCTGCAAAACTATTCACGTGTTGAAAATGGGGCCAAGATGCTCTCATATAGCTTGCTTACATCGTCAATTGTTCCTTCACGCATCTTGAATGAACTTTCAAAACACCCTCACATTCTGCAGTAAGCCTACACATGATGAAAAAAACAAAAGCTGGCTGATTTCATGGAACTTCCCTTCAGAATTGATGCATTGAATGGTTTGCAAGTGGAAAACAGTTTGTAAATGTATGTATAAAAAGGGTGCACCATAAAGAAAATTTCTTTTCTTGCCATATACATTATATTTGGTGACCTGTACTATATGCTTGCGTGGTCATCATGTATGTAAAGAGACCTTTGAATTGGTCAACCTCTGTAAAGTAGCATGAAATCGCTGCACTAAAGAACTCATGAGGTGCACCGGATATTCTACAAGTCTCTGTTCATAATTTGAAAAATCATGGAAACGTACCTTCAGAGTTGCGCCAATTAACTTGCCAGAGAGAAACGACTTACGTTTGGGTGATCTATCCCAGCAAATAATTCACGGTCTGAAGTTGAATGTCTCGGTTTCGTCTAACAAGCTGCTGTAATGTTAATCTCGCTAAGCAAACGTTCTAGGTATTTCTATTGAAGATAGCAACCAGGTCCCTTCTCTAGACTCGACTCGACTCAAAAGAATCTTTCCACACATAATCGGTCCTTTAAACATTTCTCAATCTACAATTCTAATTCTTACCTTCCCATCATCAACCTATCTTTGAAATAACACTTGACTCTTGAGAAATTTTTACAACTACTCACCTATTTGAGACTGAAATATCCGGTTACATACCAAGGGCATTGTAAAGAAATCGCAACTGAAACCCACGAAACCATCAGCAAGATGCCTTACAACTACCATGGAGGAGATGACCTCCCTTGGTACAACAACCAGCAAGTCTCCCTTCCCATTGCGATTTCGACTAGCAATGACGTAAATGGTAAGTTTTCAAATCTGTTGATATCTTCTTTGCCCGCTTTCTCCGCATCTGCGCCTTTAGTTGCTAACTGTGCCTCATAGAAGGAGTAAAAGCCACTGCGAGCACTGACACGCCCTCCACGAATCCGAACCCCACAAAGTTCCAAGCAGAGTGGCCCTATGAAAACAGCCAATATGTAGAAGGTTCATCCCAAGGATGGTACTCGACCTCAGATTCACACCAGAATACACAGCCTTCCACGTTACTGCCTCAAATGACACGATCGCCTCGTCAATACAGCTCAAATACAAACAACTTTGATGCAAAGGGAAACGGAGAACCCCCAAACATGACAGGTCTTGGGATCTTTTCAACCCCTGACGAGATTCTCTATAATCCGAGCCTCCAGAACGGGTTCGGAAGTGGTAATTTTTCTACCTCGCAACAGGATACGCCAATACGCGAATTCTTAGACGACTATAACACGGATGCCAGCACTACTGGCTTCAGAACACCAGCCCCATCAAGATATCAGATGGACAACAATTCATCTAGTGACAGTGATATTCATGCAGACTTACAATTGTCAATTCAGATTGAAAAGTCTCCCTTAGGCACTCAGTTTGCTAGCAGCACCCAAAATGGTGAAGCTCCACAGCAAGAGTCAACGTCTGAAAATGAACGATATCAAGCAGAATTTTTCAGTGAAACAATGACAGCTCAACTTAGCCGTCCACTGAGCGCGCCACCTGCAGGTTACTGGGCATTGGAGCAGGGACTCTCATACACTGCCACTGGTCTCGACATACCGTTAACTTTGAGCCCTTTGCCTAGAGCGACGCTGAAAACCGTTCCCATGGCATATTCTGGTAACTGGCAGTACGATGGCTCATCAATAGGCCTGGCGATGGACAGCGATGTCCCGATGTTACAACCATCAAATGACATCCAAAACGATCATTCCGGTACATTGGGTCAAGATGCTGGAGCTATTCAAGGAGCGCAACCCTTACAGCCATTGTCGCAGAATAATGGCCTAGGTCAAAATGCTTCTGCCAATATAGCAGTTCCATGTCAACAAAGTGATGCATCGAGCACACGGTCACCGATAACTTCAAATAGACGCAGACACAGCGATCCTCCATCTCTCCCAATTCGAGATGCTAGAGATTCACAACAAGTAGTACAGGCTAGAAGCCAATTTTCGGAGCAAAATGCACAGTATCAAATTCCTGCTATCAATGCATCAAGAGCACGTCAACAGAGCGGTGCACCCATCGAGGACGAACTGGGAGCTATGGGTAGCCGCAGACTCAGCGATACTTCTCCTGTTCCAGCCCAAGAGCTCCATACTTCCGTTCTGCCGCCTCCTGATGTCTCTAGGGGTCTTGGCAATGGAGCCAGAGTCAGACTGCGAGCCAGCCTGGTCATGTTGCACAGCAGTCAAGTGAACGCCCTATAGCTGCCCCTGAATTTAATGGCAGTTACCCTGGTGTTGGGTCTCACACGATGTTCGTATATCCCGAACGATCACACCAAAACACCTTTCAGCAGCCAACCAAGCAACGTAAATCGGCATCCTTTGCGAGCGGCAGTGCCAGACTGACAGAAATTGCGAGACCTCCATTGCGACCTGTTGCACCTGCTCCACTAGCTGTGGCACCACAACAGCCCACACGGAGAGATAGACAGCCAAAACAACCCGGCCGACAGTCTGCGCAATCAGGTACTCCATCTACACAGCAGAGCCAGCGTGTACCTCGGCGGGGACCACCTCGAGTTCAAACTAGTCCACAGGCAGTCTCTCCACAGGCTCAGGGGGTCGGTTCACAGCCAGGTATCCCACAAAACCAGTTTGATCGCAAGCTTCCAAGTAGATTAGACCCCAAAGCCGCTGCTTTTGCCAACGTCGAACCAGCAGAAGACTTCATAAAAATGGTCTCCAAGATGCCCTTTCTAGATAGAGTGGCATGCGTTGATCGATTGATGCGCGAAGACCTCTTCAATGATTACATCAAGCCATATCTCTTCGGTGAGTACAATACAGGTTGTGAGAACGGTTTGAAGTTGGCATTGGAGAAGCGTACCAAGGGATCCTTGCATGTTATTATCGAAACTACAGAGATAAAGCATGAACGTCAGAGTATGAAATGGAAGGCCAAATTTGATGACATGCAGATCGAGGACGAGCGCCGCAGAAGGGAACTTGCTGCTGGTAGAACTGCCGGTGATAAAACGACTGATACTCCTGAAGATCTCGGAATGACTCCGGCCGGCAGCAAGCGTAGGCATCAAACATCAGCATCGGCTCAGGATTCTCACTATGAGATCGACGACGACGAAGCCACTGAGTCCGACGATGGCTCCGATAACCATTCAATTGTCCATCCTCGAAATTCACCAAAGAAGCCTCGAACTTCCGGGCCAACATCTTCAGGAGCAAGGCCTTCAGATATAACGGATAAATTCTGTTCGCATGCTGTCGGGAATATTCCGTTCCTTCCTGATCCCATCCACAGTCAATTGTGCAATCTCAGCATTGAGCAACTCATCATCCCAGTCCAAGAGTATATCACTCAAAATGGTGAGATTGCCGACACGAATGTTGAGCACTGGCGTGCTTGTGCAGGACAGGCTGCTGGTACCGAAATGGAGCAAGAAATGGCTTGCTCGCATTGCACTGATTACATGCAAGATGGTTCTGTACCCTTTGCAAGCTGTGTCGTTATTGGCGCAACCATTCCGGCCGGAGAGTGTTTCAAGGGTGCTTGCATGAATTGTGTCTATCTTGGTAAGGATCAAGATTGCAGTCTTCGAGGGGTCGAGAGTGAGGAAAGTGAAGCTCAATGAATTTGAGGTCAATGGGCTGGGAAGCTAGAGAGCCGGAGGAATCTTCTCTTTGAGGTCGACGAAGTTAAAATTGGTCGGCTTGAGTTATACGGAGATGGGTAAATTCTTTGTTCGAACTGTTTCAGATTTTTCGAGGTGTGAGATTTTGCCGTATTCACTTTCATTATCGGAACCGGTTGGTTATTTTCGGGGCGAAGACCTCGGATCTCGGGACTATCACACTCTACGAAAAAAGGGTGTGCCATGAGGAGTGCTCTATGGGAGCTGGGTGCGAGGATTGAACGTTACTCTTGCTATATCTGAAAATTGGGAGGCGTTTTGATTTCGATCTGTATTAAGTTACCACCGTCGTCTGCTTTAAGGCGATGTGTTGAAAAAAGACAATATGAGACTGCCTACTGAACTATCCTAGCTTTCTGATAAGTAACATCTCGGGAGGATATTTACTTTAAAAATATCAATAAAAAGTTTTTATCCAAGCAAACGTGCAAGTGAATTGAACCGGAAACTTTCTGTGCCCATGCGTTTCTTAGCCACCTTTTGGTCTGAACTTGATAGTTTTGTGGTTATATTATCAAATTAACGTCGAAGACCAGAATATTCCACTTCCGAGGCGATTGAATAACACCAGAATACCTTTCTTCAATTTTGACCATTGACTCTCCTTCTGCATTAGGATCTATGTTGCCAGAACTGGTGCAGGATCCTCTGCGGTGAATCGGGAAATCCTTTTCAATTGACTTGGTAATATTGATTCTTCGGCGTTACTGCCGCTTTCCTTTCTCCTTCATTAACTCTCTTTCATGATACTATCCTGGCTAGGATATTCTTCGTCCTATCCATAGCCTTCGTAGTGCATTTCCGCTTGCATCGTTGGGAGAAAACACACAAGTCGAGGAGGTCAACGATGAGCAGTATCTGTCAAACCCTGTACCAAATTACTTCATCTCGCACAAAATGGAACTTCAGTACAAGAAGTGTAGCTATTGTTTCCCATTCATTTCTTTAGTGTTTAGCGCTCATTCGTAGAGGATTGTATTTGACGACCGTGAATACTCAAGAGCTTTCCGTATGAATTACCTTTCCAAAATGCAAGATAATCCTACCTTTCCTACCCAGGAGGAGATCCCAAGGTTTTTACCGGTGTCCTCATATACGGTGCGCGAATTTCTCATCCCATCCACAGCATATTCTTTTCACCACACTCATACACCCAAAACTTCCCAATTCAACCCCCAAGCAAACATCCTAAAAAGTCTCTAGAATCCATTTCACTTACTCAACACATTAAAATAACAAGACCATTCGAATACCAGCGTACACAACATCATTTCCCGTACCCTAGCTGCGCCGGCTAACAATCGGCAAGTCATAGTCCATACAGCGACAGTTCATTCGTCTTTCAAACCATAAAAGAACTATTACTTCGCAGCCCAAACCAGAGCTAAAGACCTCTCTTTAAGTGCATACAAGAGTCTCTACCCAAAAACAACCACCGTAGTCAAAATAAACTCATCACCCATATGCCGGTTCCCACACCTCGCCGGCAAAAAGTTAGCCGGAGCCCCTTGCAATAATCGGCTAATTTTCATTTCCCCATGGCAATCCACAACTCCACACCGGCTAATCCCCCACAACCCCCATCAAAAACGTCATCTCCTATCCGGTACGCGTAGATTTTTTGATTGATCAGAAATGCCGGAGCGGATGGTATTTTGGAGGGGAGTTTTGGATTCCCACGCACGCAATTTGGAGGGGTTATGGTGTTTTTTATTCAACGGGGAATTTGGGAATTCGGATCACCATTTTTTTTTTTACGGCTATGGTTATATGCGGTGGATTAAAGCTGTCACTGTAATGGCGTGCTCAAATGCATGTAACCCTAAATATGAATTGTGATCCCACAATGGTGTGTTTGTACGAATTAGGTAGGTAAGTTGTTGTATGTTTATTTAGTTTCATTTTGTTTAGATGAGCTAACTGTCTAGTAAGCCGAGTTACACACCATGCCGTAGCAGTAGTTGTGAATCTAAGCTGTAAATCTACCAGCAGACTTGAGATGAGAACAGGAGGAAATTCACTACCCGGAACTCCCGTTATGCTTTCATTCAATCATCCATCATCGACCACATGCCATCGTACCATCGTCTTCCACCAACAAATTCAAATATGTACCAATCCCAAGCTGTGATATACGTGAAAATTACCTCCCAGAAACGACCATGGCGCGAATTCAATCAAGCGCAAACTGGCGCAAACGCAAAACGCAAGACCAAACAAGAAACGTGTGAGCACAAATGAACAAGAAAAATCATCTTTAGAAGACAATTTAAGCTTCTGTGCCCACACCATCTTTGCGTTCAGCACCTTTGCTGCCACCAGCATCCTTGTTGTACTTTTTCCATAGTGCGGCAATATCTTCCTTGCTCTCGTTCTTCTCCGTGATCAAATTCTTCAACCATTTGTTCTCGGTTTCTAATTGATTGATGCGTCCTTCCAAAGCTGCAACTTTATCGCTCATAGCTTTCGCTGATTGTTCAAGAGCTTGCTCGCGTTGCTTCTTCTTAACTCTGAAGCGAGCTGAAGCGGCCGTATTTCTTCGACGTTTGTCTTCTTCCGCAGCCATACGTGATGCATCTTCAAAGTCGGGGGATCGTCCATCAGATAAAGACTCAGCTTTGCGCTTTTCTCCAACTTGAGGAGAGACAAGAGCAGATGTAGGAGAGCCGGCAGATGAGGGCGGAGGATTATAGATTTGATGGTTGGTTTGAATTGGATGAATCACCGAAGGCATGCCATCATGATTACCGAAATTGGTAGGGTGGTTGTTGGTGAAGGTATTGAAGTCTGAGAAATTGAAATCACCTGAATGGAGCATCATGATGTTAGCTTTGCCTGCTTTTTTGAAGAAGATGCTTGAGAATGGAAATAAATGTGGAATTGTATTATAGATCTGCAGGTAGACTGCAACAAGCGACGGCAAACGGGTAAGAGACGAGGATTAGACCGGAGATACACTAATGACTTTTGGGAAGACAAAAGAATGGAGCAATTATCGACTACCCTAGTCATTGTTGTATGACAACACGTGATATGCCGCCATTACTCGGTAATTGTGTGCGCTTACCAAGCAGCACAATGAAAGGGTTACAAAGCATGTAGAAGGAAGGAGGGAGGGAAGGGTTCGAGGAACGTTGCAGAAAAGTAATGCAAGAGGATAAGAACTATACTCATCGTATGCAACCTAGGTGCACGTGGATATGTGCAGGTAAAGGTATTGGCCAATAGCTGACCAGTGAAACTTCTCAAATGGAGAATTGATCATAGCAGTCCATATGGAAGGGTCCTACCCCGATTATTTTGAAATGATATACACACTTGTGCTTAGAAGGTGTGCCTAGTATTCGTCCACAAGATAGAGGGGAAACATGTTCTCCCAAAGATACCGTGTAAAGGAAACACAAGGAGAAAGGAGAGATTCGATATGATAGAAGTACAGAAGTTTGACAGCAAAACAGTGGAGACATGGGGGTATCTCTAACCTGGAAGACTGAAATCTATGTCCTTTAAATCCAAATCAACACTATCCGCAGTCGACTGTGCTCCAACTCCGTCGAAGTTTGGTGCCTGCAAGACCGAGTCGATATCGTAAAATTCGGTGTTCGTGAACATAGCCAGTTCATCATCTACATTGTATGTATCCTGATTGGAATTGTGTAGATCTTGTGGTGTTGGGATTGCGTTGAGATTCGCGATGTATTCCGATACATTCGGACCCCGCCGACCATTGTACGCCATCTTGAAGTATGTATTCGAGAATATGGAGTGGCTTTCGTAGCCTTTTTGTCTCTATGATATTGATGTCGCAGATAAAATCATTCGATGGAAGTTTTTGGAAGGGTTGGAAGGTGGGAGGTGATGAAAAAGTTATTCGAATTCTTTTCTTTGTTCTCCGAATTGCGCCCGATTTGGAAAAAAAAAGGGACTAGATTGAATTGATGATCTCGCAGGTCTGCGAATTCGAGGATTCGATGTAAATGATGGTGGATGTGATCCCCTTGAAAACAAAATGTACGATAAATCCCTTCGGTTAGTATGATCTGGGGAGAAGAATTGAGGATTGAAGGTTGGGGATTGAGTTGTCGAGTTGTTAAGTGGAAGAGACAAATTCCGGAGTGATTACGGATTGTGGATTGTGGATTGTGGGCTTTGGTGGGTTTTCGAGATGTTTAGACTCTAGAGTAGCCTGGCTTGAGGATTGCCCCACCCTAGATTGATCGATTGATGACAAATTTCAGAGAGTAAAGAGTAATAAAAGAGCTGCTGCTATTATTCAGCAAGATGATACACAAAAAGAGAGTAATCACGGAAATGCGGGTTTAGCTATGAACTGTTCGCGTTCAGATCAATTGACCTCTGTCATGGGAAATGTTTTCCAGATTCCATACAAGTTGAGGGTCTCGTGAAGGTATATTGGTGGGGGTTGATGTATTTCTCCTCTTGTTGTATTGGTACTACATAAGGCGTGATTACTATTCTACCTACTCCGTATCCATTCACTCCTCTTTCTCTCTTCTCTTCTCTGTCTCTCTTTCTCTCTTACTCTCTTCTTCACAGATTAGAGACAAAGTGCTTGATGAGTGATTGGGTCAAGTAGTTGATTCTTAATTTATTGTCTTTCCGCTATTGAGCAGTGAATTAGCAATGGTAGGCTTGAAATCATGACGAGTCCATTTTAGGTTGATCGTTTCTTTGAATCCCTCGAGCCTCTCTTTATTGTTGGTCGAGCCTTTCTCGCCTCTTTGATGTCCTTCTTCTACCCCTGCAACAGACCTACACATGTTGATGCCTCGAAGTATCCTCGGGGTTTGAAAGAATCGGAGCTTTTATGGATATTCCCAAGATATTTCCATCCAATCACATTATCTCTCGTATTCCTACGATATCGGTGGTAAAGAATGTCATGCGGAGTCCATTACACCGAGAGAATAGGAAGTTGCTGCTTTGATTAGTATTGTAAATTTTTGCCTCGGGAGTAGAATTCTTTCGCCCAAATACATTCTATTCACAATCAAGCGGCGCTGCCACTTCAGACGCCGTCAGGCTCAGAGAGGTTACATCTTCATGTAAAGAGGTCTGAGAGGCCGTGGCTAAAGCTCCGGAGGTATCCGTATGGTGGGTCTAGAACAATCAATTTCTGGAAAATCTTGAGGCGGGTGATGATGAGGTCTATTTTGGTCAAAATTCATGTTGGTAACTTTTATACATCTTGTCGTCCAAGGCCTAGGTGATTCATCAAGTTGTAAGAGACATTTAGGTTCATCATTGCTAAAATGAAAAATATAGAAAGTAGGCATTAATAACTTAGCTTGATGCTCCTGTGTCCTCGTCTTCGCATAAGACCCTATTCCCATTGCCCAACAAAGATTTCCTTTATGAAAAACAATAATGGAAATAAAATCAACGCCATAAATGTCAGAATATGAATTCTACGGCCTTTGAAATATAGTGAACTGCCGATAAATGCGAGAAAGAAGCTTGCAAACGTGTTCATCTCCCTAATAATCAGACTCAGATGGTGCACAATCCCAATGGCAAGACCACGATCTCAAATCACGAGTCTTCCATGTCATCACTGGTACCTTCAGCTTCTTCACTATCATCGCTGTTATCGCCGACACCAATGTTGTCGCTGCTGTCGCTATCATCACTTATATCATCATCCTCGTCGTTGTCCTCACTACTATCGTCATCTGGCTTTGTCTCTGTCTTGACCGGGAGAAAACGATCCGCGGGCTCAGAAGCACCTCTAGCCCATGCCACTCTCAAGGCATCCAATTGTACAGTCAGCCCTTTGCGTAAAGTCTTCCTGACGTTCTCTCGGGTCTCGTCGTCCTTCGCGACTGCCCACATTATCATATTTCTGATTTCTTCTCTGAGGTAATGGGATGTGTCAGAATGTGCCTCCTTCAATAATTCTTCAAGGTTGTTTGTCATCTTGGCTAGTTTAGTCTTGAGCACCGTGGATGATTCACTGTACATAGTTTCATTTGTTTCTTGGATGAATTCGAAAAGATTCTCCTTCATCCGTGCAAGAGCACCCTTTTCTGCGAAGTGACACTTGCGTTAACGGGTAGCCAATTATGATTTAGAGTTAGTACTTACTTGATTCTCGGCTACATTTTTCATATACTGGACGTAGATGATCTTGTATAAGGGGCTCGACAGCTCGATGAATCTCTTGTGCTTGAGATCGCGCTGAATCAAATGACTCTGTTATGGCAGTTCTAGCTTTACGCTGTAAATAAGGAACCTTTGCTAAGAAATCTAGGGGTGATCTCGAAGCAGAGGCTTCTGACATGCTTCGAAGAAGAGGCTTTATATCGATCGAAAATCTGTTGATTGCGGTGGCAATTCTCCTAGCGTATTCATCGTGTATATTCTGCATTTGCGAACTGAACACGTTTTCCCAAGGTTTGGCAAGATGACCCAGGAACGGTTCTGAGAAAACCCCAACCCAGTCATAATTAAAGTTTTTCCTGTTACTAAACTTGCCGCGCCTACGACAGATTGCTTTCCAGGTCTGAAAACAAATGTCTTCGTTAACGAGTTCTTTGCAGGCCTCCTCGGCTTTTTGTGTGCTCGCATTGATGCATTTTTGCAACATAGGGAAAATATCGGTTTTGATGGCGTTCTTCATCCTCATCATCGCAATATTTAACGCAAGTTCAAATTTCTATATAAGGTAAGATGTTTGAAAGCAGCGCTGATGCAGTATTTGCAGGAGAACATACCTTCTGAAGAGCGCCCAAGTGTTCTTCCAACGTACCATTGAGTCTGTCTTTTTCAGACGAAGACAATGAGTTCGGAGAATCATTTTCAACCCACGAACTGATACTCAGTTTGACTAAATTGAATCCATTCAAGAACCTGTCAGCCAATTTTGAACGCTGCGTCAAGGTACAGGCGACTGCATACTCCCGTAAGAACGGTATGAAAGTGTCGTTTATAGTTGCAAATCCTTTCGGTTTCGGGTTCCGCTTGAAACGTCCTGCCAACCTTTGGTATCCTTTGGAGGACACACAGAAGGTGTTCAGCTGGTCAATTAGCCCTTCTGTACAGGCATTTTCAATCAGCTTTGAATTATCCCACCCAGGTTTGGTGGCCGATGATTCACTCTCAACTTTTTTCTCAATTTCAGACTGAAATTCATCATTCCGATCAGCAGAAATATCCTGTTTCAGCTCTCGGAGCCCATTGAGAAAATCTATCTTGAGATGGTTTTGAGTGTAGGTGTTTCTGGCCTGTGTGCAGACAACTTTGATTTCATTTCTAGCTGATCTCAGTTCGAGCTTAAGCCCAGCCAGCCTTTTATCTAAAGCTTCGATTTCTTTGATCGTGCTGCCTTTCTTTCGCATCAAGTCTTGGCGAGATACCTTGCCTGGAATCTGAGATTTGATCGAAGGCACTTCTTCCTCCGCCCCACTATCTTCGACGAACTTTCTCTTACGCGATGTAGCTTTTTCGCTCTTAGTCTGCTTCACTTCACGTTGCAATCCTTTCAACTCCCGCTTGATCTTGTTATTCTTCGCAGTTTTTCTAATGAGAGTTTCTTGAACTTTATGAACGTTCTGCATAAGAACCTCCTCTTGAGCAAGAATCGTCTTAAGCTCTCTTTTTCGGAGTTGCAGTGACGAGATGACTTCATTGTTGTTGATTATATCTGTTTTTGACATAATAAAAGTCACGCAGTGGCCATCATATTTACCGTCCATGAAAAGTTGTCTCCTGAAGGATTTCCCCATCAGGTCCTTGGCCACTTGATCATCGATGGCTCGTACGATATCAGCCACAATCCAGATGTAGTCAAGGTTCTTCATATAATTCTCGGCGACCTGTGTTCTCCCGGTGTTGGAGTCTCCTAGTCCAGGCAAATCAACTAGTACAAGACCATGCCGTAAAATCTGGGCTTTCGTGTATACGCGAACGCAACGCACCAACGGCCAGTATGATATTCCTGCCGAAGCTACCTCCTTATTATTCGAGTCGATATACAAACTTATTTTTTCTGCAAAATCCTTGGCTTTGTGGTCTGCTATCTCCAGGCTGCAATCCAATATGTCCGAAACGCCATCGACTTCATCGAATAATTGTTCGGAACTCATGCCTTTTAATTTGCCAAGAGTTACTTCCGGCCAGACTGCGGAAATCTTGGCAAATGCAATGCTAGCCGCACTGCCGGACTTGATGGTAACATCCTCGCCCTTGGTTGCGTTGGCCAAATCATCTAAAAGCACATCCATTTCTTTCTTCCACTCTTCCTCTGAAATGAACTCAATTTCAGCCCGGAAAGCCCTGTCTGGATCATCAGAGTCATTCCATGAAATTTCTGTGACCACGGACGTGCTGGCACGCATGGCGTTCGCTGGTACAACCATTTCCTCATCAATGAGGGCATTAATAAGGGACGATTTTCCACTCCCGGTATACCCAAGTAGTCCGACAAGAACCCGCGGACGTTCAATACCGGCCAGGTTTTGCTCTAAAGACTGTTAGTTAAAGCTCACAATACTTCGTAGTGAAAGAATACTAATTTGATCTTCCCAATTTTTGAACTCCGGAAACATGGCGGCATGAGAAGCAACTATGTTGCTAGCCTTATTTAAGAAAATAACAGCATATTCCATCGCCTTCTCCTTCCTAGTAACCATCGCTGTGTCCATTTTAGTAACTGTGGAGTCCATGTCGGGTTCTATTCCTTCGCTCATTGTGGAAACGGAATCATCTGTGTTTTCGCTTTTGATACTTCTTCCTCTGAGTTTTGTTGCTAGATCAGTATCTACTTCACTCTTCCGATCCCAAATTACGGAACTCATTGTCGTGCAAAACTGTCCCATTCCAAGGTTAGTAAGACAAATATGAGAAAACATGAGAGTGCCCGTAAAGTCGGGAATTCAATCGTGAAATAATGCCTCAATAAATATGTAAAGTGATGCTTGATCGAGAACGGTAGGTGGTGAATACTGATCCAATGAAATCAAAGTGATCTCCAGACACCTTGAGGAATGGGACAGAAAAGCCGTAGAAATTGGCGAGGGACGGATGAGAATGGATCAAGACTTTGATAAGAGAAACTTCGCGGAAGCTGAAGAAAGGCAGGAAACTCAATCATACCTTCAATAGTGAGCGTTATGTACCAGAGGCCCAATCTTGAAACTGAAGCGGTAGATACCGCAACTGAGATGATTGCTGAAAGAAGTGTAATTGTAAGTCAAGAGAAGTCTAATATTTTCGTGGTAGCAAGTAGAATTTGTGTAGGGTTAAGAAACAAAAGTTAAAGAGCAGTAGTTGGACCTTTAGTGATTATTGTGATGGGCTTGTGGAGAAAAATTGTGGGAAGAATATGAAAATGGCACACAGCTCGCTAGCATGCTATTTAAAGGGGAAGGGGCTCCACGCGGCAAGGCTGTCGCCACATCTGTCATCTCGGGGTGACTTTGAGGCGGGTGCTGAAGTCAATGTCATGTTCATACTTTGGTCTAGAATATATCATCTATTATAATCGGATTGCCCGGAATGAGATGTACATTTGGCCATCGGCCTCGGGACACCCATTTGATGTTGCACTTCATACACTGATCTACTATTGTCTGGCAACTTTTGCATGGTGTTCGTGTGGAGGGCAATACAGGGTCTTCAGAAGATAAAAGATCTAATATTGAGCAATGATTTGCGAGGTGCTACATTCCGAGAATCTAGGGATGGTGCAAACCTTATGCAGCTAGTCACTTCCAATAGAAAGAGCGTGATTTCTTTTCCGTATGTTGCCGCCATCTCTGGTTCATAGATGACGCCACCGTACATCTGGGAGTCCCCGCTCACGAATGACTTCGCACTCTGGAGCTATCAAATAAAAATAGATGGCCAAGACACACTATCTGAAACCCTTGCGCTGAGAGTGTGTGTGATATGACAATTAAGATGCCATCGCCATGTTTAAAGATCAAGGAAAAGTGTTGTTATCCAGTGCTTTGCACGTACTCGGATCACTTTTTCTTCACGATGTCTCTGTAACTCAGATAAGAGATGGTCCAAATACTGTCTATGGGCTCATCACATATGAATATGGAAAAGCCAGGCTAGACACAGAGTTCGACACAAGTGCTTGATCATAGTAGAGTATTGTTCTCGCAAGACGTTTGAGGTCACTTTCTCGAACGCCGTTACAAAATCATACGGGGTTCTCCTATAACTGTTCTAGAACTACCTAGCCGTCTTGAGACTTTACAATGATTTCAGCCCGTAAATGCCGGCAGCTGTGTAGAGTCTTATTGTGGCTAACTCATGATTGCACCATTCAATATTATTAGAATGGAGATATTGCCTTATTGAAGTGGGAAAGCCATTAAATTGTATGCATTTTGCTAATTCGTACGTTGGCAATTGGGTTGATTGACTACTAGGTACAGGCCTAAATTTAGGGTCCGGTGCTAGTTCCACTACATCAGCTGATCGCGATGATTTCGCGATATACAACGCGATAAATAACACCACATCGCAACGTCAAGAAAGATACCTGGAAATTAATGAAACCGATAATGAAGGTGTCATCCAATTCTGGGATTTCTGTTGCTTGATTAGTACTCATTCTATTTCCATCGATCATGGCTGCAGTTTCTATACCGACTACCTCTGCGCTTCCTCCCTCTCAGCTTGTTCCTTCAACGCACCCCTCCGTACACAAACTTCTATCCCGCCTCTCGCGCCCTTCCCTACTCACCCTAGCCCTCGATTGGCTCGACGAACGTAATCAAATCAATACCGCGCCATATCTTCTCGAAGCCGACGATTCTGCCTCAGATTATGCGCAAGATCTCTACCCACCTCATGCTACCCTTGACTCTCTCAGCGAACTCTACACTTCCTTTACAGCGCAAAAAGGCAGCAAGCGCGATGTTCTTGATCGAATACTGGAGGGTGACTGGAGACATGGGATCACACTATATCAATTAGCTATGGCAGATATGCAATATCTTTATGATCATCCTACATCACAGAAATGGACTGCCCTGAAAATTGTACCGTTGACATCTTCATCTCCCGACCATGAAGTTCCAAAGGAAGAAAAGAAAGATACAGCAATACCTCGATTCCATCCGTCGATATTCTTACAAAATTTACAAAAAGAGGTGCTACCAGATGTAAAAGCTCATTACAATCTCGATCGTCATGCTACTTTACCTTTACTACTTTTAAGAATCTACATACTGGATTCACCATATAACACATCACTTGCGCTTTCATCGGGTTCTAACAAACCGAGCATGACATTTGACTCTAGCAAGACGTTTTACATTGCTTTCCCAGATGCTTCGCCATATATTTATGTTTCATTGAGTTCCACAGTAGGGAGCGCCAATGGAGCAACCGACACAAAGAGTCTAAGGAAACTGACACTGGATGGAATCCCGAAAGCGTTTAGCAGGCCAAGAGAAAGGTACAAGTTAGAGGGTACTGGATTTTCCACGAAGAATTTGGAGGTGCTGTGTGAGAGGAAGGGAGGAGGAAGGCACAACGCAGCAGGAGGTGCATGGGAAGTTTATGCAGGAGTAAATAAAAGGACAATCCATTGAATCCGACACTACTAACATCAGAGGACTCACCAACTGGGGATCAGTTGGAGAGCGTTGACAAAGAGAAGACAATACCGAGAAATATGAAAAGACCCAGAGAAGACGATGCGCCAGAACTGGCAAAGAAACGAAAGAATGTAGCAAAAGCTCGTTTTGGAAACTCTGCAAAACCCAACGACGGAAAGGGCATTGAAAGACTCGATATTCGTGTCGAAGACCCTTTCCCTTCTTTTGTTTCCATAACACCTGAACCAGAGAATGAATCAATCACTGAGCGACAACGGGGGAAGAACAAAGGGCGAAGAAGTACTATCGAAGCTGAGTTTGATAGGTTGAATAGAGAGGACAGTGAGAGAAGAAATGAAACAGAAAGGGACGAAAGAGGGAGGGATGCATGGAAGCCAGATATCAGAATAACATTCCAGGGAACTCATGTATTTGCGGGGATCCGAGAATTGGTTGAGGCAGGAATAGTGGACGGAGAGAAAATGCCAGGATGGATGACTGGCGAAGAGGGTGTTACCCTGGGAGTTGTGAGGAGGGGAAGGGTTAGAGGGTTCAAGGGAACTGGCGTCTGATGCTCGTAATGAGTATGCGTGATTATATTGGGAAGTTTCGGACTTCGGTGTTTGGGTGTTTGGGTGTTTGGGTTTGCCGTGATACCTGGAGTTGCAGATTTCCTGTTCTCATTGAGCCATTGCAAGAACCGAGATGTTTTGACACGATTTGTACAGCATTGATCGATTTAGATCATGAGAAGATCTACAATGTCAAATACCGGACAACTCAAAAGATGTTGTGACACCAACTCCAATCCTCTATTCGTATGTGAATATGTTTACTGTTGTAGTAAGGCGTAGAATCACCTCATCATAGGTCTCATTCACAGAAGCCTAATCCAATGTCAAATGATTTAGAATCTGGATCTAGATTATAGCCATCTAATAACACGTACACAGGTATTCTGTAATCGAAACAGTCAAACACTACTCACGCTCCCAAGTCGAACATTTTGCAGCTATTTTTCCATGCCGCCTCCCTCAATTCTTTCACACTCACCCCCTTGACTCCTGCAACGACCCACGCTACCCGACCAATCATACAAGGTTCATTTCTGCCTTTAATCAATACCCCGTCTACCCATTTTTCCTTCTTCACACTCTTCCAACCCTTCCCGCCCTCGATAGATTTTTCGCCCTCGCTCATTCCTTCCCCCTCTTTTCCTTCCTCGAACCCCTTCAACCATTTCGAACTTGCATGACTAGGTCTGATCTCACACCAAGGTCCGTCCGTCTCAATTTGGAGTCTCTCCATAGGTATTGCTTTCACCACTTCCAAGTTCTCTTCTGTTTTCAATGAACAACCATTCACCCCAATATCAAATCCTAAAGCAACTAGTTCCTCCATTTCCTCTTTTGTTCCAGTGAAACTATGAACCACTCCTCTCTTTGGCAACTCTTCTAATCTGGCCTTTAAGATTCGTACAAAATCTTCATGAGCAGCGCGTGAATGAAGAAAGAGTGGTAAATGCAGACGAGTCGCTATATCGAGTTGCTTTTCAAAGTATTCTAACTGGACATCTTTTGGGCATAGAGTAAGACGATCGTAGTCAAGGCCGAACTCTCCAAATGCTACGCAGTGATTTGTATTTTTTGCTTCCAACGCCAACGACTCGAGTTCTTGGAGGTATTTATCCGGAGTATTTGGGGCTTTTGTGAATTGGAGACAGGAACAGGGGTGGACGCCAACGGTTGCGAAGAGTACCCCGGCTATGAGAATCAGCTGTTGCTACTTCTAAACTTTTAAACTAAACATGCGTACAATATTCCTTAGATAATTCAACAGCCTTTCGAGACTCTTCCAAATCGGATCCGGTAACAATAAGTTTCTCACATCCTGCAGTAAGAGCTCGTGAAATAACAGAGGGCAGATCGGCTGGATGACGTTGTGTATCATAGTAGATTCCAGAGTAGACGGGGTCGGTAAGATTTATACCTATCTACTGTGAAAAGACTGATCAGCTATTGTGCCCGCGGTCGAATAGATGCTAAAGTCTTGGGCAGGAGAATGTACATCTACATAACGGGGTTTATCCCCTTGCCCAGCTTCGAGGACACCATTGGTAGCTGTAGACATGTTGAATCTGTGATTGCGAATACTCAGTAATGTTGCAGAGTTTAATCGCGTTTTTAGAAAAGAGTTCGTGAACCTGCAAAGTGGGCGAAGGTGATTCATGGAGTGGAATGAAGTACTGAATGTTGAGGGGGTGAAGAAGGCTGTAATGAAATTTGCGGGGTGACAGCCTTGCGCTAAGAAATACTAGCGGGGAACACCTCCCTCATTTGTTGATGAACAAGCCATGGCTGACGAATGCAAAGGTGCAAGGCTGAGTTTCTTCTCCATAACCTTGTGCATGCACGCTCCTATATGTCGAAACGTAGTGTCTAATTTGTGGCTTTATGTCGTGCCATTTTGCTGCTTGCGTATGTATAGCTGTTGAAACCTCACTCCTTGCGTCAATGGGAAAAATCACTATTATAACCTCCTTATCCTTGGATTCTCACATCGGGTGATAGGGGCTGGCCAGAGAAGGAGGTCTTCACAGTCAATTTGCATCGTCATCCACCAACATTCATGGATCACAGGGAGTTTGAGACCGAATATCTTGTGCAAAACAATTTGGCATGCTACAAGCAAAGGGTATAGCTAAGAAAAATGCATCTAGTATCTAAACATTCTGGACCTTTTAGGTCATCATTAACCATCCTTCATTCCATTCATATGCGCATATCGTAATATCCATCCCAATTCATATCGAATCTAACCATGCCCAACCTGTACACCTTTCAAATGCAAACATCATGCTCTTGCTCGCTCATTTTCATATGCTCATGCGATCATATCATGTCATGAAAAATACTAATGAAAAACAGTAAAAAAGTCCTCCACAAAAAGAAAACGCCAACCAACTGATATTAACCCTCCCATAATGATCATGATAAACTTGAATGACCTTGCGTGAAAGCCTGCAATCTCAAACCGCTCAAGGCAGGACCGTCCTTGGTACTACTGGCGTTGCTTCCACCCCTACTCCTCCTTGTCCCAAGTATACGGTGCTCACCAGGAATCTTTCCATTACCACCGACCAAAGTTTTAGTATGAGCTAGATGATCCAAATCATCACTCGAATGAACAGCATCAACTAGATCATCAAATTTTCTGGAGGTTCCTGCGATTTTAGCGCCTATAACGGCCAAAGAATCGCGCGTTCGCCTTAATCCATCAATATTGTTGTGTGTTAATCGTTCGAGAGTAGTATGAATACCTCTCAACTCAGTTTCAATCTTTGGAAAAGTATAATCGGAAATTCCGCGGATTCGTGTACCGTTATCGTGAGCCAATTCGTCGAGTTGTGAGACTGCTTTGTCGAGTTCCTTGGTAAGTCGCTTGTTTCCTTCAAGAATAACGGATTTTACTTGTGCACCGGTTTCGAGTACACGATTGTCGATTCGGGCTAGTGCTGCCCCGTTAACGCGAACGGCGGTTGTGGTCTGGCCCACTGTTGAATCGAGGTTTAGAATATTCGAAGATAAGGTGTGGATCGTTGAAGAGTTTATTTCAGCCGATGAAATCAAGTCGTTCTTGATGTTTGAGAGTAGCGAGGTATTGTCGTTTATTTTTGTAGAGATATGTTCAACGGAGTCACGGATGGATCCAGTGGCGTTGTCACAGTTCTGCAGTTTTTCCAGGGTTTGAGCATTGGACTCTCTTTGGAATGTCTGGAGGCTCGAGAGGGAATAGCTGATACCAGGAATGTCAGTATGGGTCAATGTATCCACGGTATTATAAGTATTTAAAACTGTCTCACGGATGTTTGAAAGCCTCGCTGCGTTGCCTTCTACGGCACTAATGGTCTCCAGAGCGGCCTTTGAAAGGGCTTGGTCCACGGCCTCAATTGCTTTTCCAATCTTCGCAATATCTCCAGAGAGAAGATACTTCATCTTGTAGTCCAGTTGAGACAAGGCCGATGCATGGTCATTAGCGATTTGAATTATCTGGGGAACAGCCTTCTCGATAGAATCAACGGAGGCTTGGTTCTTGGCCGCAGCGGACTCGAGTTCACTGAAATCGATGGCCTGGATATCCTGGCGAATCAGGGGAACTTGTTTATCTAGAAGGAACCTAATGTCATTGGTACTTGTAGCAACACTTGACTTGATGTTTGTCAACATCTCAGTATTACCTTGAACGTCTCTCCCAGTCTCCTTGATCGCTTCATCAATCGAAGCTACAAATTTGGATATAGAATCTATTGACATGTTCATTGAAACGTTCTCGGATGATCTGATGTTAGTAAATGCTTCAGGGAGGGCGGCCAAATTTCCCGCGGTTTCCACGGAGGTTTTGTATGTTGATTGAACATCTCTGCTCAACGCATCAATAGATGTGTTTGTTGGACCGAGGTCAATGTTTTTGATATCCAATTTCAATTCGCTCGTAGTGGATGTCAATCTTGAGCCAAGATTCTTCATTTCACTCTCAAGTTCAGTAGCTACATCATTGATTGAAGCAACAAGCGCAGATTTGTTGTCGTTGAGGTTGGTTCCGATTGCTGAATGAAGGTTTTGGATGGCAGTAGTGACTGATTCTTCGCTATCCTTGATCTTTGTGTTGACGGAAAGGATTCCATCGTAAGCCGAAGCAAGAGATGTTGTGTTGTTATTAAGAAGTTCTCTAATTGCGAGGATTTCACCCAAAGTTTTCTCGATGCTGGCATTCTTGATTTCCAAGACGTCGGTATGAACAGCTCCGATTGATTGGCCGTTAGAATCAGCGACCTTCATGATAGCCTCCAAAGCTTTCAAAACTTCTCCCTCTTGGGAGCTCGAACCTGCTGTAGTCGAAGAGGTATCGAGGTTCTTAATTGCTTCCATGATCTCCTCATCTTTACTTCCGTCCTTAATGGTATCAAGAATGTTCTTCAAAGCAGCAATGTCTTGGATCATTTCGCTCTTTCTGTTATCAGCTTTGACGGAGTCAACAAATTCCTTCATGATCATGAGTTGTCCAAGAATCTCATCGCTTCGTTTATCCTGCTCCATTGAAGATTTGACATGCTCGATGGCGCCTAGAATCTCGTGGTTGGCGCCGCTCTGCTTGATGTCCCTCAAGACAACATCTTGATTGTCTAGAGATGTACCAAATCTTTCGAGTTGAGTATGCAAGCCTTGAATGCCTTCACGTCCAGTAGCCGTTCCATTTTCAACATGCTGGTCGATAGTCTCTAAGCTGATTGTGATCGTCTTGAGGGTTGTTTCAGTGCCGGAATGGAAAGTAGATAGATCATGAGAGATGGTATCGAGTTTCGTGGAGTGAGATGCCAAGAGGGTAGCGAGAGAATCATTATAAGACGCGGATTGAAGATTGTTGAGTAAAGTCGCAATGTCGTCCAGCTTCTTTGTATCTATGGGCAACACAGTTTGCCTGTGAATATCCTCAAGAGAATTGCTTTGAGTTTCAAGTCTTGCATCCAATTCTGCCCGCATATCTGATAGTCGATTGACCAAGTCATCAAATTTGGCCACTTCATTGCTTGGGAGAAGGGCTGAGGTGGTCTTCGAGACACCATCTTGGATCCCGGCCATTGATTCAGCGAAGCTAGTCATCATTGATGCGATCATTGTGAGTTTATCTCTATGAGCATCGAATTGAGATGTATTCAATGTTTTCACGTGTTGCTCAACTCGATCGATGGTGTCTTTCACAGCTGTTGTTGTAGAGGTAAGAGTATCCAATTTCTCTGAGTTAGAGGTATGTATAGATTGGTCATTCGCGGAGACATGCTCGTTAACGGATTCGACCACTTCGTTGATCTTGGTGACTTGCTCGATGATGTTGCTGAGACGAGATGTGTTGGTCGACAATAATTTCGAATCAATGGATGCCAGCTGGCCCTGTCCTTCCAATTCCTTTCGAACAGTGATAATGCTTCTTTCGATGTCGTCTAACCTCTTTGAGTGATGTTCCAGTGATGATGTGTTAAGGGAAGAGACAATATCGCGGACTTCTTGGATATTGCGAGCCAATCCTTTCTCGGTACTTTGGATGTTCTTCTGGGAGTCTTCCAATTTTGAGACACTCTTCTTCAAACTTTCCATTCTATCAACCATCTGAGAGTTTTCATTCAACATCTCATCGAGCTTACTAGAGTTCGAGGACGATGAATCAAATTCCATAGAGGAAACTTTATTGATGACATTTCGACTGGATTTCCCGAGATCCTCAACCATTCCAATCAACTTCCGGTGACTGCCGTCAATTTTCTTACCCAAATCGCCTTCGACGGACCACAGTCTTTCCCCAAGCATCTTGTTTCGGTCCTGGAGTTCATTGGATAATTCACCGAACCTGATGGCAGATCTTAGATCTGCGTTAACAATCTCTCCATCAAGGCTTGTTATTTTCTCTTCAAACTCATCAAATTTCGTGTCAATACCAGTGAGGCGCTCATCAAGTGACTTTAAGTATTCTAAAATCTTCTTTTGACCTTCAACGAGAGACTCAATGTCGTCCTCGGTGTCTGGAACATCGTCGATCAATTGACTGATTGGTTTTAAAGCTGGATCCAAAGTAGCTTTGATGTTTGAGGTACTGAATGATGACTCAAGGTTCAATGTTGTCGCTTTCAAAGCATTCAACTTTTCTTGCTGTCGAGAAAGAGCAGCGGTCACGGGATCAATTTGAGACGCAATGACATTTCTGAACGCATCACTATTGAGTGCATTTAAAACAGCTTCCTCGACAGCCTTTTGAAATGGTTCTTCTGAGCTTGGAGTGTATTCCGTCCAAGAGTTTAATCCGCCGGACGTGGTTGGTCTAGTCGTACCGGCCGTTCCAGGTGGTGCGGAAGCGGTGGACGAGGTACGTTTGTTCTTCCATCGGTTAAGAACCGATCGACTACCGTTCAACGACATATTGAGCGCCGAAGGTGTTTAGGATTTGGGTTAATTGAAGAGGAAATTGATATAGATCGCGAGAGAGGTGTTTGCTTGTTTGATGATGATGGTTTTTACGTCTGGTGGATGTTTATCTTAAAATTGTATGATTATCGACCGACTTTCTGGCTTGGTGTGATGGTCATGATGTTGGAAAGTTTTCCACGAGGATGAAGGAGGTGAAGATATTGAGAGAATGTATCATGAAAATGAAGGGGGTTGGTGAAATGGATATCAATAAAAGGTCAATTTCGATAAGAAGAATAGATGAACCGTATACGAAGCATTAATGAAATGAAATAATTAATGCTCTTTCTCTTTTTTTCTCTTTTTCTCTTCCTTCGTCTCCTCTATCTACATGTACATGTTTATGCTGTTTATGCTGCCATGCAAGCAAAGACCATGTGGCGCTGGGGAGTGGAGTTCGAGGTAAGACGTGTCAGATTGAATTTGGTTAGCATATCCCGTGATAATCCGTTGAAACTCATCTCTTTTTACGATATAAAGAATAATTCGTTGTCATTCATGCCTAAAAGTAACTAAAACAACACACAAATGATACTATTCGCCTCCGACTTGTACCTTGACTGCCTTGCTTGCAGTCGTGTTATTGGATTTGTGGATTTGGATTCGAAGAATTCCCTGGTACTGCGGCCCCATCCATTATCCACTTGGAAGTAGCTAAATACCAGCCAAAGTAACCAACCAATCCACTAAAACCCATTGAACCCATCAAAGCAAGACACAACATCCAATTAACAACTTGAGTCTGGGAGGAAATGAGTGCGAGAAACGAGTTGCAGTTATTGGTGAGCCAGAAATCTCGATCAAGACCAACGGCATACAGGGGCGAGAGGGGCACGAAGGGCAGGAAGGGCAGGAAGGGTAAGAAGGGCAAAGGAAGGTAAGCAAAGGGTATCTCGGATATCGGTTTATGTGGGTGGTTACCCGTACATATACATGAACACTGTACATGTTGATGCATTGCCTCGCATTTCCAGAATTTTGCCGATGCATTACTCCGTACTGTTACTCCATACCGTCCAGTCTGTACTCCATAAAATGGTATGGTTACAAGTTATATCGTTCAAATCCCATCTTTCGGGATGAAAATGTCTAGGAAATTTTGGGTGTACACCTAGGTAGAGTTTCAACGAGAATTTGGCCAAGTTCTCCCGAGATACTCAATTGCTTATCATCTAATTTCAGCATCCCATTTGACTTCGAACGGCTTGTACGTAGTAAGTAGTAAGGTTAAACGCTCGTCGCTCGTCGCTCGCGGTCAGGACTCAGTACCCTTGACATTACTAGTACACCGCTCCTCTTACCTATGCCTATCGATATAGTCCCCTCACATTTCCAGCCTCATCTTTTCATTCGTTTGTGGTTTATTGAATTCCTCAAGTATTTCTTATAACCTATCATACGCTTTAAATGCTGCATACTTAGATACCTAGTAGTTCTCAATTCTTATAAACAAGGCGACAAGGCGACAAGGCGAAGGTTGCACGTCAGGATCGACTGATCTTTTTCCCTGAACCCCAAGAAGTTCTGAAACATTTACGATTTAGAACCCTGAAGACCGTCCATCCACTTGTCGATTTTTGATTCGAGTAACAAACAAGTTTATGGATTTTATGAATCATTCTTATCTGTTCGACTTAGTGTAGACTCCTCTCGCTCCTCTAGTTCATGTATCTAGAAAATTTTATCGCCTATCGTCTGTGCTTACCCCAGTTCTCAAAAGAGTTCGCAGTTAAGACTTCAAGAGTCTTAAAAGTTGAGACTTACTATGCCCTTGTTGTTACTCGATTGAGCTGGCAAAGTTTTTGTATGGAACGGCTGTTGCGGAAGAGCAACAAACTTCCACAAAGATTTTATTCAACGGATTGGCCAACACACAAGATTGTTACCGCCTTGAGTTTTGAATATTGGTATCTAAGTTTATTTTTTCAGAAATGAAGCATCAACTGGGTGGGATCCGCAGCGACAAAGGCTGTCGGCCCACACCTGATTTTGGAAATGATATATCAGCTGGCTTGAAGACAAACGTTGTTGCCAGGTCGTCGTCAATGTATTTATGGTTCTGAGCGAATAAAGAATGGGGGTGCCGATGCTAATGCTGAAGATTGGGAAAGTGATAAAAGAATTTATAATCACATTAGGTAGAAACTGGTACTTTCGCATTCCAGCCACTGAGGCTACCATCAGTCAGTAGACCTGATATTTTCTGGTCGCTATAAGGATAGTCGGCTTATGACAATCATTGTTTAAATTTTCCTTTCAAGCCCCCCTTATTTGTATGATCAAAAACGTCTTTTCTCGCTAGAAGAACATCGGGATATTTTCTACTCCATTCTCTTATGTGGTGACCATCGAACGGTCTGAGTGCTTTATTGATTGCATGAGACGATGTGGGTACGTTATCTACTGCATTTTCTTCCTGTATGCGGTTATCCACTATCGTCGAGTTATGTGACCAAGGTTGCAGCATAGGGTGGCTTTAAGTCTATGTATATGCGCACTGTTCATGTGGTATTCATCAGAAAAATCTCATTGAGAGTTTCACAGCCTTGCAGATGCTTTCAAATTAGATACAGAATCAAACTCAGTCGTCTACTCTGTACTTGCAACCATGGTAGAAACTCACTCACCGGATATTCGAGGCGCTAGTTTGTCATTCCATTTTCCCAGATTTATGAGTTGATCAGAAACTACGCCGAATTACGACCACTCACACTAATGACCCATTCGACGAAGGTGTGGCTCCTGAATACCTCGTCTGTCGACACTTATTGCGGTTGAACGAACCAAGTGACGCTTCGCTGAGGGTGATTGCCGCTGTAAAATATGTCAGCCAGTCTGCCCACATCACTGCGATTGCTCGCATGGCATGATGGTATGCACATAGCCGCAAAGGTGTCTAGACGGCGCCAGGTTACTTCTTATTTGGTATCCAGATGTCTGACGTCTAGACGAACATTGAGATTTGCTAGGCCTTAGCGATGAACGGAACTCTGTGCCTCGTATTGTCCATCAACTACATTATACTTGCGCCCTATCCAGTCTCATATAAGGGTTCTCACCTCATGCCTAGAAGTTTTTGACAATTCAAAGTCAGTGACAGTTGCCGGATGGAACCCAATTGGTGTATTAAAAATTTGTCATCAGAAGAATTGGGATGGCATCGGAAAATTGTTTCCATTCGATTTCTTTGCATTTGACATTCTCGCAATTCATTATGGGATAGAATAGGATGATTCGTTTACTCTGTTGCATGAAAAGGGAACGACTTGGGCTGTATCAAAGATGTGGTTAATATATTCAGAACTTGTGAAGTTGAGAAGCAAGGCAAGGTGAAATTTACATTGGCCTTCACCCTTCTGTAGGACCTTCACTGTCCTAGTTTCCTTCAGGAATGTGGCCCAGATGATCATGTTTCCTGCATTTCCTGACCCTCAACTTTGCGACGCGGGGACACGTAGCTGTCCTCACACTTCACTTCAATATTCTCACTCCATGGAACATTGGATATGTCGCTTATTTCGGCGCTTCTCGTACATGTTTGACAACGCTTCTTCAACGCAGTCACAGATTCTCCCTCACTCACTCGTTTGAAGAGCATGGTAAATTTGTCAATTCGAAGTTACTAAATTTAAGTGCCCCCTAATTTAAATCAACCTGACTGGGTATCCGCGTAGACATACTTTTCGATCAATGTCAATGATCTGCCCCCCCCTCCAGAAAAAATGCAACATCCCATACGCCTCAGACAACTCCTATGCTCCACCAATGCCAAAATTATAGGAAAAGTTAATGACTCCTTATCTCATCGCACCGCAAATCCTACGGAAGTAATTTAGATTTACTTTCTTTCTCCATACCCTCTCCCACCTCATTATCTCCACTTCCAATTATTTTTCGCAATTTAATCCAGAAACTTGGACGTGCCAAAGCCATTGAAATGAACATTAAAGCAGCCCAAATGAAAGGAAAAACTCTCATTGCTGTCAAATACTCTTCCGGAATATGGAGAAGTGTAGGAGAAGAGAGGCGATACATTTCGAGAATTTCCGTTGAATCTAATTCATTCCCATCTTTGTCTAAAGCAATGGCTTGATAGAAAGCAGAAGAATTGGATGGTCGCACTCCGGTTTCGAATCCAGTCTTAGGCATAGTGAGAAGATGATGCATAGTGGTCGGAGAGCTTCCTCCGTACTATAGAGATTTGTTAGTTCTGACGGACGAAGGCCATACAAAGACAATGTACTTACTAAAGCCCAGGAATCAACCTCGGTAGCTCCATTCCAACTTATATATAAAATTTGCCCAACCTCAACCATGACTGGCTTCCATGAGGGTTGGGCAACCCAATCAAATTTATACACGCGGTACAAGTCCGTACCTCTACCAGAGGCGACATACCAGGGCCTGGTCTGAATTTCCATGGCGACTTCACCCGTCTCTGTAAATTCAGCAAAGCTAGGAACAACTCCATATCCAACTAAGAAATTCCCATTATCCAATGCGTGAATGCCACCCTCAGCCCATGCCTGTACACTTTTCGGATGATAGAATTGATGTACAAGCTTCACTGTCATGTTGTGATAATTAAGCTTGATCTTCATACCCGAGAACAATCCGTTGTGCAATTGGGCGTCGGCGAGTTTATGTACATGTTGTGGTTATCAAAAAATGTAATTTCCGTCAGGTCATCATTGACGAATCTTGCATGATGTTGGAATGCGAAATTCGTGGCGTTTCCACCACTCAAATCAGTAAAATCGTTGTTGTGTCCACCAACCTGCCATATTTTACTTCCATCGGTTCCATTGATATATGCTATCATTCTTAAATGACGACTTGAAATCAAGTAATGCCCTTCTCGGGTTTTCTGTAGACTGTTCATGTGAAACCAATCCCATCCCCACTTCTCGTCGACATAGGCTGTGAAGGATTCGTTTAAACCGAAATGATCAAGTGCGTTCCAGGTATGTCGTACCCACCCCGTCTCGATATCAACCTCTTGAAATGACCCTGTCAAGACTTTTCCACCATTGGGACCGCCTACTGGTCTACAATCGGCAATAGTAGTATGGTAGTTATTCATCATCGCCCCTCCATCTTCCGTCAATTGGAACTCATGACCATCCGCACCTCCAGCTAATGAATTCACACTGATATTGTAGACTTTGTCATACGAGCTATTCAGCATTACCCCTCCACCAGAACCATGGCCTTGAAAGTCGATACCAGACCAAAAGGTTAAATACGGCTTTCCGTTGTAGAATTGTAACTTGGTATCTGAACCACCATGCCATGTAGAATCAGCGTAAACTAGACTTAAATCTTTGCTAGAAAATATCATGGGTGATTTCTCTTCTCCATCCAATGTAGGCGACATGAAAATATGAGAATGATTGCTGATAGCACTCTCGTTCCATTTATTGACGAGAAAGAGGGGTGATGTCAAATCGGATGAATGATAATGCTGTTTTGGCCAATCACCATATCCTCCAAGATTAAAGGTATCATAGTTTTCACTTGTGATCAAACCAGCATCTGCTCGAACTTGATAATGAGGGGTATTGCTTAGAAGAAATAATAATGTCGTTACACTGATATCGATGTTGAATCCCATGAAAGAATACATATTTGTTGATCGGTCATGAGTCTCGAACATAAAAGAACGATGGTGACATCGGAAAGAAAAGTTTCGTGATTTTGAAATCAGATTTGGGGAATCAAACTCGACTAGTTTTCTATAATCTACAGAAACGATTAATAAACACGTAATTAACCTCCCTGAGCCTCCATTTAAATTCCCCAGAACGCGTAGTTCCATGATTGATACCCGCCCCTGTTTGAGTAAATAAGGGGCTCAGAGGAGTTTATGGAGCGATCAACTTTTGATGTGCGGGAAAGCAAATTTAATATTCCCCATCAAAGCCCATTAAAACCCCCGATTGGCAAGACAGTCTACGTTTATTGCGTACATCAAAACGCGTAACAAGATCAATGCTCGCAATATATTATTCATGAACCTAGCAAATTGGTGAAGTTGATTAAATTTATTTCTATGAGAAACAATGAAGCGAAGAAGGTTTAGATCAATTCCACAAAGAGCATAGGGAGTGGAACGTCAATAGTAAAAAACATGAAGAGATAGTTATTGGAATTACATGAAACAACGAAAAGGCGTTTTTCCGTTGTCAGATAAATTGCACTGTACTCCGCGTACCACTTGGCGATGATAACAATTCGGGTACTTCGGTGCTTAAATGCTGAGCTCATGGGGTTTGTGGGAAAAAAACAATGGACCTTGAAGATTCTAGAAGCCCTGCAAAGCATGAAGCATTTGTATCCTCACTCATCTAGATCTTAAAGACCACGCCGGTCTCATAGTATTAACCCAAATCTTCGAGAAGTCTGCCGCTGGGCAACGTTGATAGAAACGCAACGATACCACAACAAGCAGGTACGGCACAAATGGCAACTCAGTAACAGCCTCCCACAATCGCAGACTCGACAAAGCTAACAGATATCTCATCTGAAGCGCATAGAGCCCAGTTAATTGACGCCAAACACCGCGGTATCTGCTCTAGATTTGAACAATCCAGAACAACAATCAGTACATTGCTGACATCTAGGGAAATGGTTTTGTGGAAGGTTAACCTTATTGGCTCAGGCCCTCGAATGCGTCTGGATTACCATTTGTCTCAAGACAAGAAATCCACTGCCACCTGAATGCCATTGTGCCCATGATTCTCAATAGTGATCTGCTTGATCTTTATTGGATACGAAGTTCTTCAGAAATATTTCGCCATTTTCTTAAAACACATTCAGTGGTGAACGATGTTGAAACTAGTAGGAATTCCTCGTTGGGGATTCACCTACTATTTCCACCGCTTCCTTCGTACTCGCCTACTCACATTACATTCTAATAATTCACCAATGGTCTAACGAGACTTATATTGAACGAGACAAATTAGCGATCATCTGAGTAAAATCTAAGGACCAGAGGATACAAATACATGAAAGGAGAGAGATTGAATCATGGTATTGCAATAGCGAGAGTTTATATCACCATTACGATCTACTCGGGCAATTTACCTTGCGTAAGAAGAATTTCAGTAATTGCTAGCTAGGGGTGAATGGCAACGGCGCGATTCCATCTCGAATGGTTGAAGGAGGACTCGGCCATGATTTCGAAGGCATCAAGGTGTATACAAGTACCCTGTCTGAATTACCCAGTACGACCAACTCACGGTTTCAAATCAAAGAGAGTTGAAATCAATACAGTGAGGTCTTTTTCGAATCTTGAAATGACACGAACGAGATGGGAGGGGTGACATGCTGCATGCATGAGGAATGGTAGTACTTTCACTTCTGTTAATCATTCACAGTTCTCTTCGCTTTTCATTCACTTTATCAACTCCTAGGTTTGCATTTTTCAAGTCCTCAAACGAACTTTACGAGAAAAAGACAGTGAATCGTTGGAATTCAAGATCACGTCAAAGGAGAAGAGCATGTAGCATTTGAGTTCAAGAGATTTCAAACATTTTAATGAGAATTATTGTCTACCACTTATTTTACTGCGGGGAATTGTTTGGCTACCTTCAATGCCCGTCGTGTTTGCCAGTACGGGCCTCGGACAGATTACTTTCGCAACCAAATCCTTTATCGTCTGCTTGATGATTCGACCTAGGATAATCGAGCTGTAAATCGCAACGGCTTGAATCAGCGTTCAAATTCGTAGTTCCAACTACGATAGGTTTTCTGTCGAACATACCTAGCCACTCGCTGCACCCAAAATAAAGTGATCTGCGAATGCTGCTTTCTATTGAAATCGTTCTCATGAATTCTCTACTTCTTGAAGCTTTGTATCCAAAAGCTAGCTCTAATATTACTGAATCGTGCCGGTGGTGGAAGCTGTCGCAGTGAGGTAGGAGCCGTTTCTTCCATCGGTGGCAAGGTAGTTGCGCGCGAGAGATTGTGAGCTTTGGCTTGATTGATTCTAGTTGATGGAAGGCAATGTAGTCTAGAATATTCAAAAATCGAATAGCTTGGAAAAAGGAGTGAGGTTTGAACGGCTATACTGTAGCATGACACGATTCCTCAAAGGTAAGCCTGATTGATGACTTCAAAGATTGATAAAGCGAATTATCGCGACGATTAACATCTCCATTGATACTGATATGGTCCAATGCTGCTAACACTTAACTACTAACCATAGTTCAAACGTAAGTTCTTAAGTGTAGAAAAGAGCGTGTAAATATCTCAATCCCATATTCATGCCAGTACTAGAAGATCATAGGGCGAAGGGCTTTAAGAGAATTGGAACGCTGCGGTAATGACAAGGCCGCGAAATAGCAATGGATTTGAATGGCAAGAAAAGGATTGTTCTGTAGTCATGGATGAGTAGGCACTTGAGTAGATGAATATGATAATTACTTGAAACAATATCAATTCCATCCATCTTTTTGGTCTTTGTCACATAACCGCATAACCGAGACATGTTACATAAACAACCTGTTGGTGAATTAACGAACGGCTTGGGCAAGGTTACCTTTTATACGAATAAATTATTTTCTGGCATTAGAAAATAGTGTTTATTCCACACTACTCAGGTACTACGTCACACCTAGCGGATCTTGATGCTCAATCCCGATATTCTTTTTCCATATTCTTTCGATGTCGAAAAGAATGAACTATGAAAGTGCCTCGGTAAGGTAAGGCGAGATGGCTCAGACTATTATTGGAGCTATCTTGGTATCTTAAATGGACGTCAAGCTTGTAAGTTAGGCAATGTCATAATCTAATAATTGTATTGTATCTTCTCCTTTGCTCTCAATTGTTCCAAAAAAAAACTTTCAACATGTTCTATGGTTTCTTTGGCTTAGGAGGTGTATCCTTCAAACCCGATAAAGATATTCCTGATCTCTCTGGAAAAGTCATTCTTGTTACAGGCGGTAGATTATCTCCCTATTCCACACAAAGATCAATTGTCTCTTCCCTTCACTTGATGCTAACTGGTTATCATAGGAAACGTTGGTTTAGGCCTTGAAACTATCCTCCAGCTTTCCAAGCACAATCCATCGCACATATATCTCGCCGCGCGATCCGAACCTAAAGCTGCCGCCGCAATCAAAGAGATACAGTCCAAAGTGCCAAATGCTCCAATTACATTTATTCACTGCGACCTTACCTCCCTCCCGTCAGTTCAAGAGTGTGCCAAACAATTCAATGCGAAAGAGCCCCGTCTCGACTTATTGTTCTTAAATGCAGGAATCATGGCGGTACCAGCGGCAACTACAGAACAAGGTTATGAAATACAATTTGGCACAAACCATGTTGGACATGCTCTTTTGACGAAACTAGTTCTACCCACATTGTTGAAGACGGCAGAGCAGAAAGATGCAGACGTGAGAGTTATCTCCTTGAGTAGTTTGGGTCATACATTGGGTCCTGCTGGAGGTATCAAATTCGACGATCTCAAAACAGATATGAATGGTTATACAACAGCTTCTCGATATGGACAATCCAAGCTGTCAAATATTCTTTTCGCCAAAGGATTGAACAAGAGATATGGCGAGAAGGGCATCACAGCTGTATCAGTTCATCCGGGAGTAGTGAACACAAATTTGTATGCGACCGCTTTTGAGAAATATGGGGTGTTTGGGAAAGTCGGTGGTTTAGTAAGAGATTTGGTTTTTACAGGTATGGCTGACGGAGCAAAGAATCAACTCTGGGCTGCTGTAGCAAACAAGGGTAATGCAAAAGGCGAAGTTTTGAAAGGCGAGTATTACACACCTGTTGGAATTTCTGGCAATGGAAATAAGTATGCAGGAGATGAAAAGCTGGCGGATGAGCTGTGGGATTGGACAGAGAAAGAGTTGGAGGCGTACAATGCTTGACTGGACTTTAACTGATCATGACACCCACTAGTGGCTTATCTTGACTTTTGTTCATATGCCAATGTGACCCATTTACTGTATATTATGATTTTCTGTTTCTGTTTCCTACACTTATTTCCTACACGGGTGCAACTGCCTGAGTGATTACTAGCCTCAAGAATCTTTCCGAAAGATATAATGAGGATGAGATGGTAAGTTCTGCCATCGAACAATTACATCTTGCTAATCTATTATGTACCTGAAAATACCTCTATTATTGATGCAAGTAATATTTCTCAGTTGAAGAAGATTCAAGTATTGCCAGCGCAAATATCATACCGAAGGTCTATCATCGTGCCGATGATCGAATGAAGCACTTACAAGTCTCGGGGCCAAGTAGGCACCATTGTGAATGAATCTACGATGTGGTCTTTGGATACAGGATTGAAGCTCACGTCAAGGCAGTCGATTTTCTTGCTTTGATCCTGGCACAATTTCTTGACACCCTGATATATAATTCTGCATCCCATCATTGTATATGCACATGCATGACCAACTTCAGGCCGGGCCAATAATGTCTGCTTCAAAATACAAAATAGGCAAATGACTCGTTCCAATCATATCAACATCCGTGGTATGCTTGCTCACTTCACGAAAGAATTCACATGTAACGCTGTATGATGACAACTCAAGATTAATGCGGAGAGAGCGAGCGAAAGTGGATAGGACAGCAGTGTAATAAGTTTCTGGAAAGCTCTTTGAGACTCAATCGATTTTTTGTTGTGTCGGAATTGTCCATTGAAGGACCCCCAAAATCAGTCCGGAATTGTGGGAGAACTTTAGAGTTTTGTTCAAAGAAAATGTATTCACATATAGGCCCAATTCAATCCTTCCTCTTCATCCTTATTCACGGAACGGAGTGCCATAGCATTTGGACATCTCTTAATCAAACATTGAATGGCCGATTACATACTTCGCGACCTTTTTCATATCCATGTTTTTCAATCTATGAAGGCCAGCGAGTTACCCCTAACCAATTACAATGCGCGGAAATTCAACATAACTATACATCTTCGGAATATCGAACTCAATTCTACAACGGATTCATGAACAACCAAGACGAGATTTGTGTTACTAATGTTACTGACCAATGTGTTCTCAATAACATCCTTCCAGCCGATGTAAATGCGTTCACAAATGTCAGCTGTAATCAAGGAATTGTTTCAGAGTACTATGTACAGGTTGAGGAGGTTTCTGACGTTGTCGCCGCTCTTGACTTCTCTAGGAAGACCGGGATAAGATTGTCCATAAAGAATAGTGGACATGATTATCTTAGTCGTAGTAGTCGCAAGGGATCTTTGGCTCTTTGGATGAGAAAAGTATCAGGGATGAGTCATGAAACATCTTTTGTACCTAAAGATTGTGATTCTACTCCAGTCAATATCATCACGACAGCGGCAGGAGTAAACACAAATGATGTTTACGAGTTTGCAGAAACCCAGAATGTCACGTTCATTGGAGGTTATGCAACAACAATTGGTGTAGCCGGAGGTTGGGTACAAGCAGGTGGTCATTCCGTTCTCTCACCGGTTTATGGACTAGGAATTGACCGAGTCGTTCAATACAAGATCATTACAACCGATGGTGTCCTAAGAGTCGCCAATAAATGTAAAAACTCGGACCTTTTCTGGGCCTTGAGGGGTGGTGGTGGTGGAACGTTTGGGATCGTGATGGAAGTTACCCATCGCGTTGAGCCACGAATTCAGCTGGCTGTAGCGGCCATTTCATATAATCGTACATCATATAATGTTCTGGAATGGCTATCTATCATAGTCAACAATTCTTTACCATGGGCGAACCAGGGCTGGGGTGGACACTATCAAGCTGCCAATTTGATAAGTGTGACACCACTTCTCAATCTTTCCGAAGCAGTTGAATCAATGGCTCCAGCTATGAAGTTTGCGATGGAGAACGACGGTACTGTAGTTATTGAAATACTTTCTTCATGGTATGAATTTTATACGAAATATGTGACACCCTATGAGGCCGTTGTTGGCGGTCTTCGCCCACTCGCTCCTCGACTTATACCGGCATCTGTATTCAATAGTTCAGAGGGCAGATCGAAGTTGATGGGCTTTCTAGAACGTCTGATTTCTCTTGGGTACTCGCCTTACATTCCCAACACTACGCCATGGCTCTATCAGTGGGATCCTGCATCAACATCCTCTACGCCAGCATGGCGGGATTCCATTTGGGAACTTTCGTATGGTGGAGCATGGACATTTAACGAAACTTTGGAGCAACGAAGAATCCAGATTGGTTTGGTCAATAATCTGACCGCAATGGTAGAGGAGTTTACACCGACAGGAGGTGCATATTTTAACGAAGCTCATCCATGGACCAGCGATTGGAAAGAAGCTTGGTGGGGTCTTAAAAACTATGAGAGGTTGGTTGAGATCAAGAAGAAATACGATCCTGATAATTTGTTGACTTGTTGGAAATGCGTGGGATTTGATGAGGAGAACGCAGCAACAGATTTCCCTTGTTTGGATATATGAGCCGGATCTTGCATGGTTCTAGATATAGAGACCTTATTATAATGTTTGGGCATGATTCTAGACATACAAATGAAGGATGAACAAGAGGTAATGTGTTTGACAAGACTGTTTTCAATGCAGAGGCCTTGATAAGAATTAGCTTTCGAATAATCTCATATGAGAAAAATGATAATTGGACTTTGCGAGCTCTGAGCAATATAATATTCCTGAGATTGAGATTGAGACTGAGACTGAGACTGAGCAAGCTTCCGGTACATTATGATAGAAAAATAGGTGGACGAATTATTTGAATTATACTAAAAGAGACGACATCATTTAATTCAATTTCTGGTAGGTTACCCTGAAAACCTGGTAGCAGGTAGGTAATAATGTAGGCAAGCCAAGTCAACAACCCCGCATTCCTCAGGTCTCCCCGAACTAACTCCCCCACATAGTATTCCCTTAGCTTTGATGCCCTTGAAGCCCTGGGAGCTCCACCCCTACCTAGCAACTAATCAATCATAACTTTTCAGCAATTCAGGAAATTTAACTATCATAGCACAAAAATTACGTTTGGCAGTTTCGCAATCTCATACACTCTCTACAGCATCTGCCACTCTTGCTGCCCTCTCTAAAAGAACAGAACGAGCTGTGACAAAATCCATTGATTTAATCCTATTTCCAGAAGCATATCTAGGAGGTTACCCTCGCACAGCAACATTTGGCGCAGTAGTCGGAGCACGAGATTCCAAAGGCCGTGAACAGTATCTACATTATTACAAAGATGCGGTCGATTTAGGGGATACACTAGAAGGCGCAGGAAAGAAATAGGTGAACAAAGAACTCGAGGCTAGAGATGATGGAAAACGCGGAGATGGCACAAGAGAGGAGCTGGAAAGAATCGCAAGAGATACTGGTGTATTCATTGTGACAGGATTAGTTGAGAGGTGTGGTGGAAGTTTATATTGTGGTGTTGTGTATGTTTGTCCAAAGTTTGGAATGATTGGAAAAAGGAGAAAGGTTATGCCGGTATGACATTTCCTCTTTGTCGTCATTATTTGGGAAGAGTGGTCGTCTGCAACAAATGCTAATGGTGACATAGACTGGCAGTGAAAGGCTCATGTGGGGCCAAGGTCAACCTTCATCATTAAGAGCGGTTACAACCACGATCAGAGGTGTGAAACTTACGCTTGCGGCTGCGATATGCTGGGAAAACTACATGCCTTTATTACGTCAATCCCTTTATAGCCAAAACGTCAATTTATATTTAGCCCCCACAGCAGATGCAAAGGATACCTGGCTACCATTGATGCGGACAATTGCATGCGAGGGTAGATGCGTGGTATTAAGTGCGAATCAATTTATGAAGAGATCGAATCTTCCAAGCTGGATTGCTGGAAACAATAAAGATGACGGCGCTATTGACGATGCTCATGCGGATGGTTATAGGCATGCTCAATCTAAATCAAGGAGAAAACCCATTCTAACGGATGATGGTTGTGAGATTGAGCTTCCATAGAGGATAGAAGGAACACCAGAAATCACAGAAACTCACAAAAAGGTTACATCTGGTTTCGTATGTAGAGGTGGTTCGTGTGTCATTTCGCCTTTGGGTGATGTTCTTGCCGGTCCGATATGGAAAGATGATAATGGTTTACTCTCTGTTGACATTGATTTTGAAGATAGCTTGAGGGGCAGATTGAATCTGGACGTCGGTGGAAGTTCCTCAAGGTATGTCAAAATCTTCAAGTTTTGCTATAGGGCCTGCGAACAAGTTCAAGGAATGATGCTTTCAAACTTACAGTAGAAGGATTGGATCTGAGCCCTCCACCTTGATATTGGCCGTAGATGGCATCAGCAAGATGTATTAACATAGCAACGGGGATGTATTGGCACATCTTAATCTATTGCATGTGGTATAATTTTCAGGGTAGGATAATCACATTGATCTATTCCTAGGGTAGTAGATCTATCAAGATATCTATCTAGCGATTTATCAATTTACGTGGCTCGAACTTGGTTCACCAGCCACAAAAGTACTCTTTCCCAAAGCTCACCGTTGATGAGTCAGATCAGAGTATGCAAGTCATGGGTAGTCCATTTCCAGAGAATCTTTTATGGCGTAGCCAGCATAGCAAGCAATATCATGTTATTCTTGATCATTCCTGACCTCACCGTGTTACATGAACCACGATGTTCCGTATATTCGTTTGTGTAATGGACCACTGAAAGGCAAGGAATATGTATGGTATGGTACTTGAAGATCTAGTATCGCATGTCTGACGCCCATAATCTCAAATTAGGCAAGGATCGCGCTCCGTTAGATGTGTTTATCCTTGTATGATTTGCAAACAGGGTTCGGCACATCGAAATTATTGGCATAACGAAGCTGTACTTCGTAAAGCTAGTCAATTATTGGGAAGATTACCGAATGTGGAAGCCAGGTCTTGGTGTTGTCTAAACATAATATACCGTTTGGCGTCCACTTACGTAGTAACTCACCAGTCGTACCTGCTGCCACTTCTTCAAATCTCACAAAGTGTTATCTTCCAAACCAATTTTTTTTACAGCTAAATTATCAGATTATCTTGGAACTTTTCATTGCCTGGATAATTGTACGTTAGCCTCAAAGTCAATTCTGCCGAAAATCAAGGACTTGATCAAGTGTTTGAAGTTTGGCTACGTCACATGAAATCATCTGTAGCTGAATCCCTAGTACGGAGTACCTACCTAGGACACTACCTAGGGTATGATGTTTGATGTAGCGATGTGGCTAACACTGGTTTGATGTAAGTCAATTATTCTCGGTCTTCTCTACGTAGTACTTTGACAGAGTACAAAGTACATGCGGAGTAGGAGATTGCGCACAACAAGTTATATTATTTTCAACCTGAAATTAACTATCGATTATCACACTGCACTTGTGCCATCCGTGCCCAATCAGCTAGCCCACCGCAGAACAAATTCTGTCCAAAGAAACCGATTTGATCCTGTCTTTCGGTCTAATTAACCACAAGTCTGAAGTTAATCAATCAGATCGTGCAAGTGCGAGTGCGGGGGTGACGAAGCTCAGTATTGTTATTATTGAATTGAGAAAAAAATTGGTTTAGTTATTTGTCTACTTCAATCCACATCAATATCACATCACGATTAAAAGTCTTCTTAAGAAATTGTTCATACATAGAAAAATACTGGCATTGCCAAAAAGACTCTTGTTTTTCACTTGCTTTTGCAATTGCCTTCAAGATGGTCAGTATTGTGTTCCTATTCAACTCTACATTATGCATCTGGGTCAAATATGCAATTGCTAACTCAACAATCTTATAGTCTTCTCAGAATGCAGGATCTGGAACATCTACTACTACATCAAGCTCTGCATCCAGTCTTGTTTCTACTTTGATACCTGTCGCCGCTCTTGCTGTGGTATACATCATTGGCTTCTTGGTCCTTCGCGCAAAATATTTACGCGTCTACCAACCTCGAACCTTCTTACCAACACTTCGCGAGGATGAAAGGACATCGCGGTTATCTGATAGCAAATTTGGCTGGCTTGCTCCCTTCAGAAGTATTCCAGATGAACATGTCTTGGACCATCAATCCCTTGATGGTTACTTTTACCTTCGATTCTTCGGATTGTTGACCAAGATATGTTTTGTTGGTTGTTGTATAACTTTCCCCATCTTATTTCCGGTCAACGCGACTGGTGGTGGTGGCCAGAAGGAGCTTGATATACTGTCTTTCAGTAATGTAGTTGATAAGAATCGATACTATGCCCATACATTTGTTGCATGGATATTCCTCAGTCAGTATTCCTTGTACTAGTCTTTCGTTCTTCAGGTCTCTCCCACGTTTGCTCGAAAATCTGCTGACAATTTTAGGTTTCGTTATATTCATGATCACCAAAGAAACCATGTTCTTTATCAATGTTCGGCACAACTATATGTTAGCCCCATTCAATGCGTCGAGAATTTCATCCAAGACTGTCCTCTTCACCTTTATCCCACAGGAACATTTGAATGAATCAGCATTAAAGGAGGCTCTTGGAGGAGATGCTGTTGTTGCTCGTATATGGATGGCTAAAGATTGTGAGAAGCTCACGGAGAAAGTAGAAGAGCGAGATACCGATGCAATGAAGCTGGAAAATGCCGAAATTAAAATGATCAAATCCGCAAATGATAGACGCCTTAAATGGGAAAAGAAATGGGCTAAGGCGGAGAAGAAAGGAAAGCCAAAGCCAGCGCGAAAGAATGTGGATACCGAAGCTGGACTTGTCTCCGAATGGATGAAGAAGACAGATCGACCATCGCATCGTCTAGGGAAGATACCGTTGATCGGAAAGAAAGTCGATACCATTGATTGGTCTCGAAACGAACTTCAAAAACTTATTCCAGAAATCGAAAAGGAGCAGGGAACTGTAGTGGGCCAAAATGGGACATCACTCCCTGCTGCCTTTGTTGAATTCAGATCCCAATTTGAAGCCAATTATGCATTCCAAAGATTCAGTGCAAAGAACCCAACCAAGTTGGACCCAAGAGCTATCGCAGTCAAACCCAAGGAAGTCATTTGGAAGAACCTCAAAATCAAGAAAACACAGAGAAAGATGAGGGTGATCGCTACTGCGACATTCTTGACTGCTATGATTATCTTTTGGTCGATTCCTGTTGCTGTTGTCGGTGCTATCAGCAACATCAACTATTTGACTGAAAAAGTTCCTTTCTTGTCATTCATTAACGATATCCCAAGTGTTATTCTTGGTGTCGTCACTGGTTTACTTCCCTCAGTCGCATTATCAATCCTGATGGCTTTGGTACCCATCGTCTGCAGGTGGATGGCCAAACTCAGTGGTGAGGTGACAACACCGGCTGTGGAACTTAAATGCCAGAATTGGTATTTCGCATTCCAAGTCATACAAGTATTCTTGGTCACCACATTCTCATCTGGAGCGGCAGCTGTGGTATCCGAAATCATTGCGAATCCCTCTTCAGCTACCACATTACTCGCTCAAAGTTTACCAAAAGCTTCCAACTTCTTCATATCTTACATCATTGTTCAAGGTCTTGGAATTGCAGCTGGAAATTTGATCAACGTTGGCGCTCTGGTCATGTTAACCATTGGTGGTAAATTCCTCGATAAGTCACCAAGAAAAATGTACAATCGATACATTACACTGGCTGGTCTCGGTTGGGGATCCTTATATCCGAAGTTTGCTTGTTTAGGAGTTATTGGTATGTTCATGCAGTCCTGACACACAGAATGTTTATTTCTAACAATAAATTAGCAATCTCTTATTCTTGCATCGCACCCCTTGTTCTCGGATTTGCAACTATTGGGTTCGCAATCGTCTACCTTGCCGTCCGTTATAATATGTTCTTCGTTCTTTCCAACAATGTCGATACTCGAGGATCTTCGTATGCTAAAGCTCTGCAACAATTAATGGTCGGAGTGTACATCTCCGAAGTCTGTCTACTCGGTCTATTCGCCATTAATACGACAATAGGTCCAATCGTTCTTATGGGCGTTTTTATTTTCCTGACGGCTGTTTACCATGCTGTGATGCGTCATGCTTTGAAGCCTTTAACTATGTACCTTCCAAGGTCCACTGATGGTGATGATCAAGTTGCTTTATTCGAGACGCCATCAAACAATACTCACGAATATACCAAGTCTGCACTCCCACCCACACAATCCGAAGGTCGTGGAGAAGATGTCAAGAAGTCCAAGAAAGTCGCGATGCTTGGAAAACTGTTTGATCCAAGAAAATTCAAATCACACGCGCGTGCCAAGAAATTTGTGACTAGTCGCGAGGAGCTTCCATCGTATGAGGAAGCTGTTGAGAGTCAGGCTTACCTTGATCCTGCCATTACAAGCCCCCCTCAAACTTTGTGGATTGTTAGGGATGAAATGGGCATTAGTCAACACGAGGTTGAGGCAACCAGTGGGATAATCCCAATTAGTGACGAGCTTTCAACCTTCAATGAGAAGGGGAAGGTTGTCTGGAATCAAGATACAGTATTGCAGGCGCCAATTCGGGAAAAGAGAATCGACTATTGATTCTTAAGCGCATTACCCAGGTCTATATCATGTATGGTCGGAATCATGGATATATCACGGCGTGTCATGGTGGGCGAAGTGGTTTGGAAGAGTGTGATAATGAGGTTTTGTGTTAGGAGGAGATGGACATACCCAAATGATTATTGTTTGTGCTTGTTTGCTTGCGCCTTCTGCGCATGAATAATGTTTTGTAATTAATTATAATTTTATCCCTCGTCTGAAACTACAACCATCTATACAACTTTGCATTTCCCAATCGGAATGACTCATTTCATCTGACTCTCTGGTACCAATCTTACGCAGCTATTTTGATCCCGGTCATAGACAAAGGGATGAATCTGACAGTCCCATTCCTTCATTGCTCGCTGAACACTAGGTTGCTGTCTTAACCATTCTACTTCAGACAATACGTAAAGTTCCGTGAAATGACGATTCCGTGATTGAGGTGATTGAGCAGGTGGTTCGAGTGCGTCGGACTCTTGATGAAGTTGGATGATATCACTGCATGTGTTAGTGGGACTTGTGTTGCCATAGGACCAGAAGTGAATGGAGCGTGGGTGATATAGAGGTTGAGGAAGAAAGGTGGCACGTGAGTATGTCTAGGCAGTATTGGGGAGAATTACCGATACCAGTTGTTACTATCACTTTCTGATTCTTCAAGCAGATGACAATCATAGTGGCCGCATATTATGATATGTTGTACCTGATACCGATGACTTTAGCATTCGAGTTTCACTATATAGCAGGCTTTAACATACCTTTAGAACATCGACGGCCCATTCAATTGCACTTCCACTGCTTGTATCTCCGACGCTCACACGGTTTCCTAAGTTACGGTGGACGAAAATCTCGGATCTCTTAACATTGGTGAGAGCATCAGTTTCTGATACCAGGGAATCAGAACACCCTATCCAGAGTACAGTTTCTTTTGGTTCTTGGGCATTAGTAGTTGAGTCCCGGGAAGGTGGAGGCGACGGTGGAGAAGAGGTTGATGGACTGTTGAATTGGAGTAGATTGGCTGGAACAGATTGAACAGAGTAACGGAGGGAGGGGAGTGGAATTGTCATTTTCACGAATTTCTTTGGTTAAAAGTTTGATTGGAAGATGTATGTTCAATCAATGTTTCTGAGAGGGAGAAAAGAATGTAAAATTATTACTTTCATTCAGTTCTCAATGTATATGCAATGGTAAGTGATCACAAGACAGTGGAGATTCATAATGTTTAGAAAAGGTTAGTCCATGAAAATGAGTCCTTAGCGGCTTAACGTGGGGTGACTTGTTACAAAAATCACGCCACATAGCATGCAGTATGAAGCTTAGTGAAAGCTTGTTTTTGTCTCTTCCAGTAGAATTGATGGGGGATTTTGGAAAAATGGAATCTAGATTATATATATGGTAGGATTGGGAAGCAATTCGAGAAACGATATCAGGCTGTGTAGATCTGCCTCGAGAATGGCGGAAGAGCAGAACAGAGTACAGTAGGAGAGTAGTGTAGTCCCCAAAGTAGAGTGGGCTATACAAAGCGATGCCTGAAACGACCATCTGTGTTGTCGATGCTTCCAGCTTAAATATGGGAAGATATAGCCTGAAATTCATGCAGACGGTAGATAAATAATCAACCTCCTTCCGCCCTACTTCGTACATGACTAACTCGCTCTTCATGCATGGGGAAGCTGATTGTGTCGCCACCTGGAAGCTCCACTCCACAATGGCCACTGAGATCAATTGTTAGAAAGAACTGAAATCATGCAAATTCGATGGGATAAAACAGGCCAAGAAAGCGACAGATACGACCGCATGAGTGTTGTGCTTCTAGCAGCACATAAGGCTGTGATGCCATTGTCCATCACCACCAAGCGCGTTTCATAGTAGGGAGATATGATGGTACTACAAATCAAAAGCTATGAGGTTTTCCAGCTTGATTCTCATATTCTCACTACTAGGGAGAGATAGAGATGCTTAGGCGTTATTTCGACCGCATTAATGTTTTTGAGAAGTTATTCAAGTAGAGAACCTGCGGACTCACCCGACACTCACGACAGTTGGGGGCTAAATTCGCGGGGTAAAGTACTAGTCTTCTTTTCAATCATGAACCAAATAGAATATCTAGAGATCACCGGGAAACATTCCAATTTGCTCGGTGACTGAACATTGGGATGCTCTTTCTGTCTGCTAAGTACTCGTTTTCAAAGATCTGAGTGGAGAAGAGAAGTATTTGATAATGAAGGTGAAGATGTGATTGCTGGTGTGACAGATTGTACTCCGTACTCTGTGCATCAAGAACTATGTGGGGTGTAGGTGCCAAAGTTACTTTCACCTCACTGAAAGTCGAAAAAATTTATTATTACTGGACCTAGGTACCCAGACATTTCTCATTTGTGAAACCAACTCACCTCTTTACTATTCTCGCTTTACCTTATCGTCGCCCATTTGTTGCTGACCTTTCTTGTCCATTGTGATGTGAAGGATCTTTCAACGGATTGCCACAAACATTGGAGGAACTAAAAGCCGTACTTCAGATTGAAATTTGTCATGATGGGGCTTTCTACGCTATTGCGACATTATTCGCAAGTTCAATCAAAACTTCAACTCCTCATTGCCATTCACTCAATCTTTTTACCGCGATGACCTCTCCCTCTTCTGATGAGATTTTTGATGGTTGGAGTGGAATCAAAGAAGATGATTTCTCCAAAACGATATTCGAGGCATTTGGGCTATCCAGCGATGATAATTATGTATATCGCGCCGAATCATTCGCCATGACATTATCACAAATTCAAGAAACCACTAGTACGGGAAAACTAAAGTATCATTACCAAGATCATGGCAAGGTTGTTCAGGTAGGCCATTTCTATTCACAACTTGTAGATTGATGTTGACTGACTTCTAAGGTACCACTCGCAGACATCGATGCCTATACTTCGATATTCTCTTCCAAGACCGATACATCTAAAGCTCTAGTAGCGTTCTCCTCCAACGCAAAGAAAAGTTCACCTCGAGAGTGGGTTGCGAATTATCTCCAATCTCGCCGAATTGCTCCTTCATATAAGATACCGAAAGCCAAAGCACACATAAATCCATACTATGATATCTGGGCCCATACATGTCGGATGGTATCTTTCCTTGGACCACTTCCCGATGCACATTATGCGGATCCTGCGGCCGCAAAAATGACTCATCCTGTTCTTCCTGTTCTTTACCATCATTTTGGATGTGTCGTACCATCTTACGATTCGCTTTACATAATATCTCAACTTGTGGAAGAGTCAAAAGCCGATGGAGTTATTGATATGGCAAGTGGAAGTGGATATTGGACATATATGTTACGCCGAATGAAGGTGAAGGTCAACGCTGTTGATAACATGGCAAGTGAATATAGAAATATGTGGATACCTGATACTGAAAAGGCAGATGGGATGGAATATTTGAGGAAGAATGCTGGAGGAAAGAACAAAGTTTTATTAATGGTATACATGATTACAGCTGGGACATTTACGAAACGGGTATTGAACGCTTATAAAGGGAATACAATTGTAGCAGTCGGAACACAAAACGCGAATCGATACACAGGATTTAGCGACTGTAGTATGGAAGAGTGGTTTCAGAAAGAGATGAGTGATTGGGAGCTCACTTGTAGGATCGCAATGCCAAGTTTTGCAGGAAAGGATGAAGGGATGTTTGTATGGAAGAGAAGGAGTTTATGAGGTTATGAAAATTGGTGAGGGCGTGGAATTGGGCAAAACCTATGGTGGCTCATGATGTATGATGGGCTAGAAATTTTATTGTGTTATTGGGGTATTCCATTTGATACTGGTATCAATCATGCTTCTGTGATGTACATTCTGGTCATTTTGAAAACCCTGGTATCACTCTCAAATACCTTTTCTGACCTGTTGCTAAGTAGCTTCGAATGATGACTTGAGCATCACTTTTGGGACTTCAGTAATTATCTACATCAAGGTTAGAAAATTGTGTGGCCTGTGACGATTATTACAGTGGTGAATTTATGAGTGAAGACTTCAGGAGTGACGAAACGAGGTTGGATATCATGGTGAAGAGTGAACCGAACACAGTTGAGAGGCTGCCGAATTTTTGGTCCAGGAACAGTTAGTAAGGGCTATCTATGACTTCCGAATAATGCAAGTGCTTTCGTGGCGTGACTCAGTCTATGGGACTGCGAAAGGATATATTAGTATAAGAGGCTATGGAGATACTAGATCAGGAGGTGGTGGAGGGGTAGTTCTAATATGAAACTGGAAGCTTGAAGGAATGATGATCGGGGAGACGAGGGGACAGAACATACGTGGCAGGTAGAAGTGAATTTTGTTTCATCAGGATGCGCATATCCTTAAATTCTAGGATGAATCAAGTTCACTATGTTAACGTTTCTGGCTGTCCAAGGCAGCTATTATATCAACGTGCTTTCTACATGCGGTAGTACGTGTAGAGTCGGGTATGGCTCTCCAACATTCGTTGTTGTACTCCTATTACCATTACTGTTTTTCTGTATACTAGTGTTTATTTAGTATTGCCATCCTATAGAAACTGCCAAGAGCTTTTTTCTTTAGCTATGTTACGTAGTCCTAGACTAATACAGAATACCGAAGAACCTATCATTCTGGTTCAGTCAATCGATCAATCAATCATCACTAACCCTATAACTAGCTAATCTAGCCCCCTAACACCTCAAGAATAGATCTCAGTGCCAGTATTCTCTAAAGCCTCTCCTCTAACTATTCTCCCAAGCCCCTACCAAGGTTGTCTATTTGAGGAACAATTTATTAAATTTCATTATTTGTATATATTTCTAACGAAATTTAGTATTCAAGTTGACACCGAATAACCTCAATGATATGTACAAAAATCATCTATGAGTATAACACAACAATAATGCTTCAAAACTTCTCAGGTCTGATTATATTAGCACTGTGATTGCTTTACACAAGCACAAGGGTCACAGGTACTTCGTCAACGAAGTTGTCTTTGCCTTCCCACAAATTCAGAAACCCAAGCCTTCGAAACATCATTTCTCCTTTGTCAATCTTTTTTAATAACAAGCAATTATCAGGTGAACTCTGAACTCCAAAAAGCGGTAGTATATATAAGTCGTCAGCCACACAAAAGTGCTCATCAAAAGATGCTTTGCCTCTGATCAGCCTTATTTTATCATTCTGGGATGACGAGTAATCCGTGAGCTTATATGCCGTAAAAAATCTCTCTTTCGGGCAATCTAAATCTTTGACTGGTTCCAATAATAGAACTCTCAGAAGTGAACTTCGTAATCTTAATAATCCATTTGAATTCAGACCACCCGAATCTTTAGTTGAGCTTTCAGGTACCAGCTTTGACACCTCGACAAACAGACATTTTTGATATGGTTCCCACTCCCACTTCCTACAATTGACTACAGAGGTGTCTAAGTAATCTTCGTCTACGCCTGTAGAATCCCAACCTGGAATAATACCCGGGTTATGATAAACAATTCGGTAACCTGGCCTTGATGCCCATGACCATGAAGGTAATGATGATGCTGACTGGGTATTTTGGGTATTTTGGATGGATTCATTGTTTTTCGGCAAAAGGCTCCATGCTAATCCGTACGCTATGTCTGATTTCCATAACCCGTAGAAATAGTCATTTGGTAATTCTTGAAACGCTAATGCTAGTCCAGATAGTGCAATAAGCCTGTCGGACTCATGGGTAAAATTTCGATGGCTATACATCACAACCGCTTGATACCACCATAAATATCTTTGCCTATTGTCCAATGAACTTGCAGGAAGACACTTTTTATCATTTCTTATATAATGATCATAGTCTGCTTTGCTATTTGAGGGTTTCATCCCCATAGGTAATCCTTCATTAGCATTTTTAGAAGCACAAATCCAATGCATTCCAGATTTAGAAAATCTTAAAGTCCTGATAGGTAGAAATTTCTCTTGGAAAGCCCAACCGCGTGTGTCTAAGTGCCCCCATTGCTTATCCGCCATGTCAAGGCACGAAAATGACGTTTTTCTTGTAGTTGTTCCATCATCGGTTGTATACTGAAAGTTCAGCAAAGTAGGGTAGATTCGCCGTGGATCTTGAACGAATAGACTGGCCTGGCTGTTATCACCAATAGCAGCAGCTATTGTGAGTATTGAATTCGAATAAATATGGCTCATTTGACATGCTTGATCGTTCCAGTCATCTGGGTCGTCTTGAATAATACATAGGGCATCGATCCAGATGAACTTAATACCCAAATGTCTACATACAAGAAAAGAGTCGGTGAGAGTTCTTGGGAGATTTGAAACATCGATAGCCTCCTTCAAGGTCTCGATATTCCTACTTGTTGTGAAGTGTCGGGGAGGTATAGTTTCTTTACCCCAACAGTAGGAAAGCGCTGCATAGGATCCGAACCGCTTTTTACCCCTTTTGCCAACGGACAGAAATACCCGTTTCGATCCTTCTATTTCCCCAACATCCAGAACTCTGAGAGGAAGCTCTGTATTCATCTGAAGTTGTGCAGAACATTGCGTATGGTTCTTCATGCAATCCTCTAGCCATCTAGCTGCTAAGCTGAAATTTGTTGTAGATCCAGTGGTTGAATTGCCATAGTATTTTTGCGTGATATATACTAAGTATAAGAAAATAAGTATTGATACGAAAATTGAGTTGATAGATTACAAGTCTAGGTCACCTACCATTTTGATCCTTTAATCTCAGATAGACGAAGATTTCAGGTCCAAGATTTACACGAAGAGCTCCCAGGTAATCCTGTTCTCTTTCAGATGAAATCTCATTCTCATGAGGGTTATAGCAAAGGTAGACTTCCAAAGAATCATTCTTATCAAATAGTTCTTTCGCCCATGCTTCTTCAAGTATGTGTTGTTCAAGCAAGTTGTAAAGTTGATAACAGAAAGGACAGCCGTTATCTGCTGATTTTCGTAACGTTTTCAAATTGGGATGATGAAAATAAAACAGTTCACCCTTTAGACCTGAAATTTCTAGTGCTTCGTTGATGTCATCATCAGAAAGTTGTTCCTCATAGCATTCATTATCGTCGTCATCAGTCGGCCAGGCTTCAGGGTCTATGACACTTATTTTCTCTCTTCTCGTCAACTGTAATTTTGGCTTAAAATGGATATCATGACAGACATTACAAAGCATATTTCTGTGGTAGGAAAAGACTATAAGCTTAAGAAATCATAATGTGGACTTGGAGACTGACCTTATCTATTAAATAATTACCATTGAGGCTAAGCAAATTAATTGCAATTTTGGCTTAGCTCATTGAGCAGTATACAAGGGTTTCGCAGTGACGCAACTGACTGCTAATAACCGATTTAGATAAAGGGGGCTGATAACAATCCTAATCCCAAGCAATACAATACAACTATTCCCTTAGTTTCTCATTCATCAATATTTCTTCACACTTCACACTGCTTTAGTTTCGACAATTCTTTGCTTTATAAATATCAACAAAAAGCACTCAATCTTATAATGACTATCTCTATCTATATAATACAGAACTTATCATCTCCTAAGCTATTACTAGAATTCAGTCTAAGAACGATTCATAAAGTCCTCGAAAACTTTGATTACAAATCTAGTCTTTCCAAAAAGCTATAACGTGGTTTATCAGTATATAGCCTATATCAATATATTGTCTATTTTATTTTATATACAAAATTTGTTTATATACAATTGTATACTTTTTTTATTTATTAATTAAATTTTTTAAAACCCAAATATATAAAATTTAAATATAAATATATTACAAAAATCTAAGCTTTTTTTAAAAAAATTCGAATTAATATAAGAATTATTACAGAAATAGTTTTTTTATAACAAAAATCATAACAGTTTCTACTTTTTTTAAAAATATAATAAGAAAATTTATATAAAAACTATATATTTAAAAGAGCAGATTTTTTATTATTATTTAATAATTTTTTTATCAAGAAAATAATAATTAGTTATTAAAATATGATTATTAAAAAAGCTCAATTTTGATGCATTTTTGAAGTAGGCCATATGCTGATATAGGCCATGCACTAATAAACCACGTTAAATCATCATCAATCAATCTCTGAAAAGATATCCCTATTCTTGTGACTTTCTTAGCTAATTACATCGAACGATATGACTTTGCATGAAGAGTGCCTTACCACTTACATTGACACATGGGTTTGTTTGGTAGTTAGTATACTATGGTATCTGAGTACTGGAGATCAATCTTTCGGGCTTTGGAACCGAATCGGTATAGTATAGACGATGAAAGAATGGAGCGTAGTGCAAGACCTAAACAAAAATTGTATGATTATTATTGTGATAAGACTTTCTTTTATATCTATAAAGCTCACGGGGATTGAGATCGATTTAACAGCTGTCAATATTTGATAAATGTATTACAGTCATAAGTTAGTCTTTTCGTGAATCTGGAAAGAAAGATGGGAATAGCATCGTAGCATGGGTGCAAGGATTATTTCACCGACAATAACATTTGCAAGCCCAGCATGCCTATGCATTTTTTACAAACTTCCCACTATCCCGGAAATTCCTCCCAACCCTGAAGAAGCCGCTCTATTAATAGGTTTCATTAACTTTTGGAAAGTCCAACTAGAGGGAGGGAGGATATTGCTAAAAAACATATTATGAGCTACCACAAGCCAGATAACTGTTTTCGTTTTTTATACAGATTTTCTATGGTTTATTCCATACAATTGATTCTGTGTATTCGATATTGTAATTATGGCCGCGTAAATGACACTCGTGACGGTCGTTGCTTGTACATTTAAAGTAGTAAGGAAAACCAAAATTGTGATGGAGAAAGGAGAAACAATATGGAGCCTGGAAATAGGCGGCAGAAGTGTTGCTGGCTCGAGGCTGCTTCACTGCTGGCTTGGCTGGGTAGAATTTGGAAGAGGGCAGGGGCTGATGGCGCGATTTAGAGAAAGTGATATATCTTTCAACTAGGGTTGGGGCGACTACATGGTTATTTGAATTACCTACCTTGTAGTTCGAGTCATAGTGACGGCTTATCAGTGGATACCTACCTGGACATTCATCTCAAACCCCAGCCTTGGCAGAATGGACTTAACACAACAACAGTTTGTGTTCGGAAATGAAGTTCTATTGAGCATGTGTCAGATAAAGTCAAGAGATGAAAGTTTTCATAGAACGAAGTTGGGACTGCTATCCATCTATCTCCGATTGAGGGAATATGGCAGAGGCCAGAATAGTCTCAATCTTACCTTCGAAGTGATGGCAGCAGTGCAATGATGAATGTTTAAGAGATAACGTAGTTTATTATTACATGCACTATATCAGCTGCTATACTACTCCTTTTTTCATACAAAATTCGTCTGTATATAACCGTGTACTTCATTTATTTATTAATAGAATTTAACAAAGTTTTATATATAATATTTAATAATAAAAATATTATAAAATTTAAATTAGTTTTCAAAAAGTTTAATTAATATAAGGGTTATTACTTTAGATTCTTATATAAAGAATTATCATCTTTTGTCTCATTCAAATTTTTATATCTACTATTTCAATTGATATCCTTATATATTTGATAATAATCACTAATCTTTCCCTTAGCTATATAAACTAGCTCGGCAGATCGATAATCAATATATATCAAAAGAAATATAATTATTACAAATGCTAAATATTGATTTTCAATCAAAAAGATAAACATATCCTAGATTTAGTAATAAATAAGAAGGAGGATAAGGTTGTCTGCTCTTAATACTAAGTTAATCGATTTTTTTTGTTTCAAATTAAACTTTTCAATTAAAATGGTATTGAGATATTACAGTAATATAATCAATAATATCTTTTAATTACTATATACTAATATACCTTACAAACTTCTCTTATATTATTTATATTTATATATTATTCATCGATTCAATTATAAAGCTATTTAAACTAAAGTAGATATTAATATACAGAATTGAATATATATATATATCACAGAGGATAGCTATGTCACTTGGTCACCTTGATTAGGAAGTGGGTATATATAATAATAATAAACCAGATTGACTTGAGGTATAATTATAAGAATTATATTTATTTTATATACTTGAATCGGGTGATAGAGTTGTTTAATTTGGTTAATAGGGCTTACTAATATTAATAATAAAAGAATATTTTGTAATTATATAAGTAGTTATTTTAGAGAAGTGCTATGCTCAATTATGTGATATTATATAAGACGGTGATCTCCGTGACAATATATTTTATAACTTTTATAGACATATTAAAGAAATATTATTATAACCTTTTTATTAAATTTTCAAATAGTTACTCATTAGTCTTACTCATTTCTGAATTTGTAAAACCTAATGTTATATATTAATGTTATATATTAATCTTATAAAATAGAAATCGAAAAAATTACTATTTGTTATAGAAGCTGTCTTTAGGGTTATATAGAAATGATTAGAGATCTTTTAAGATAGTTTAAACTAGACTTCAAATAGGAATTTAATAAGATTATAATTAATTGTAATTCTTATAACTATAATAATAAAACTAATAATTGTTTTTGAGTATAAAGCTTTATATTATAATGAAATCTATTTCTTTATATAGATCTTTATTCTCTATTGTCCTATTGATTCTATTGTATTTCATTAGATGAGAGTAGTGGGATCCAGTGGGAATCTCTAATCCTGTGATTTCCTGATCATGTGACTCGGTATGTTGGATGCTGTTGTAATACTATTTATTACCTTACCTTTTTTATTTCTGGTATATATTAGTGATATTTTTCTTTATAGTATTAGTATCTTTCAATATAAGAGAACCAAATCTATTCAGCTTCTGAATATTGGGTTTATAGTTCTTTAATATAAGCTTAGGCTTTTTTATGCATTAATAAAGATTATTCTACTTTATAACGAAATACTAAAGATTTAAATTCTCTGGGCCGTTATCACAAAGACAACGTTTTCTCGAAGTCTTGATTATAGTTGTTATTATATACAATGCTAGATGAGAATTCTAGGGATAGAGGAAAGAGAATTGAAAAAGGGTTGAAGAAGGAAATAGTACAGTATGTATTGATTTATGTGAGTAACTGTCGAAGAAGAGAGAAATGGGATGGCCACAGGTTAAATAACCTGAGAATAGACATTTTTGGCTCTTTCTTAATTAGAATTGTAATGCTGAGAATGGGAAACGGGAAACGCGAAAGGGCGATGGATGAGGACCCCATCGATTTAGAGGGCTTGGAGGAATAGAGGTTCGCGCTAGTGCACATGGTCAATGTCCTTTGCGCATATTGAGGCTACGTAAAACAACGACGAAGCACACCGAATACAGCGTTCAAAACATCTCGAACTTGCTTTATAAGATAATCCATATCACGGTGTAGTTACCCCCGTAACAATGACCCTAGAGGCAGCTCCTGTAACATATAATAAATCTTAAAAACTTTATTTTTATAATACAGAATTCATATTTGCTTAATTTGTATAACGTGATTCATATACGAGTGGATCATATCATCAAATGGATCACTTCAAAATCACATTAGATTCAAGGTTTTATTAATATTCACATTTTAATAACAAATCAATATTTTTCAAAAAGAAGGAAGCTATAAACAATAATAAAATAACAAATATCTAGATATCTAATTAATATATAAATATTCTTATTATATTTCTAAATTATCACCCTTTTTATTACAAAACAATTATTTTAATAATAATTCTTATATTGATTCGGATTTTGAAAAACTAATTAGAATTTTATAATTTTTATAGACTTAAATATTATATATCAAATTTTTGAAGAATTATATCAATAAGTAAAGGAAGTGTATAGTTATGTATAAACAAATTTTGTATATAAAATGAGTGATTCATTTAATGATATGATTTACTCGTATATGAATCACGTTAGTAAATCAACTTTTGTTAAATTGTATTGTTTTATGAATGTTTATATGGGACCTTGTTCGTCTGGTAGCTCTAGGACTATGGTGCTGATAATCATACACGTGAAGAATATTCATACCAATTCAGCCTGCAATCAGGCTTCATCTTCTATCATTTGACAGTCCCATTTGAAAATTGGAGACTTGATGAGAAGCACTGGGCCTCTGATGTAAAATAATACACAGGCACTCGTAGCTTTGAACCCTGGATAGGACCAAAAATAAATACACTCCCGATATTATATCATGAAATCGTCTTGGGCAACATCACCAAGATGATATCCGCATCTATTCTCACACGTCTACCGTCCAGATCTCATGGCCTGATGAAAGCCAAAGCCAAACAATCCCAAGCTCCAGGTCTACATGCTCCCTCTCATTTTCAACATTCCTTAAACATTGTTATACATATCATGCATTCGATACTCTTCAACTGAGCCTCCATTGCGGGAAGCATGTTCCGGCGTGGCCGTCACAGATTCCGAAGGAGTCTTCGACTGGCTAGCCTCCAGATCAACGTATGGATTGAGATGAGGATCAGACTGAGTCGTACGATGCGTAGAGGTATGAGCGGTTGACCGAAGAGAGGATACATTTTGGATATTGCGTAGCGTGGCTTGAAGATTGAAGTGTGTGAAGAGGAAACTGAGGGTGGGTAGACAAGCAGCGATGAGGGAGAGTCCCGCTTCAAGCATACTCCACCATAAGCCTACTGTGAGTACTTCTGCTATTGAGTTAGAAGGTTGAATCCTGCGAGAAAATATGGGTTTCTTACGTTTGGGGCCTATTACGGCATCTTTGGTAAGACCGGCGAGTAGCTGGATGTATAGTATCATCCTCGCAATTGAGGCGCCAACGGCTCTAGTGACTCAAGTTAATATGCAATCATTTGTCCAGATCATCGCTCATCTTGCACTTACGAGGCTCCAAGAAGAAAGATGCCGCTAACCGCAATCTTCTTCTTCAAAGATAACCGAAGCTTCCATATCTACCGCGTTCAGAAGTCAGTCCGATTTCGTATTATCAAGCGAGTATCGAACACAGGTTGTACAACTTACAATTGGTAGAGGTAAAAGGAGCACATAGATATCAACGAGGAAATCAGAGATGGCTAGACCGTACTCGCTGGTGAAACCAATAGTACAGTACTTAAGCTGCGCAGTGGTGGGGACCCCCAGTTTGCCCAGACTGCTGTACCGCAATCGAATATGATAATGAATATAAAGGCAACTGTCCAAAGGAATATTACGGCAGCGGAGATCTTAGAGACACGGTTGAATGCATCGTTTTTGCTAACGACAAAGATTCGGCGATAAAATGCAATAATGCTCAACTTGATGGAACCATATGCTAATATCATGAATATCTGGAAGGGAAATTCGAGCTAGGGAGCGCCAAGAAAGTTAGCCACAGCCAAGAACTTCCAAGTATGTTTGTTTTGACATCGTTGTGGAACTGTAGAGAAAAGAGACGTTGGATCGACATACCTTCTGGCCAAAAGTAGTTGAGGGATCGGTGTAGAGTTCTTCTTCTTCTGGGGAGAAATCCGATGGTGCTGCCGGAGTTGGTGAACCAAAGGCTCCATTATGGGCCCCTAAAATGTGAATGAGTATAAAATGACGTTATGTATGGTAATATTAAACATCTAACTACCATCAATCAAGCATATTCCCATTCCAATCAGCCATATCTTTAGCTGGTATCAGTCTCCGTCTTTGATAGAGTGATTAAAGTTCTTTGACTCACGAGACCGCTCAATATTAGCCAATCATCGACACCCCTCTTAGTATTCTGGAGACGCCGAGTAAGAAATCGCAAGCCGACAATAAAAATACCGACGATCGGAAGGGTGACCCCGAGAGCAATGACCTCTTGTTCATTCACATACTTGAACGTGAACGTATAGGAAGGTGTATCAGACGATATTTTGCAGGAGAGGTGCTAGCAAGCCAGACGAAAAGGAAAGCTCCGGGAATCAACCTTTCCAACTTTTGTGTGAGTGGAGAAGTGAAGAGAATGCAAGAGAAGGACAGCCTTGGAAAGAACGAAGTCAAATGAAGAGATAGAAATTCTTGTCATAAAAAGGGGGGTGTTGGAATGACCGCCTATCGAGCAGGATGGCGAGCTGGCTGCTGCGCCGTCTGAAGACATTTTTTTCAGCACATAGAACATACAATAGATTGAATGGCGCCGTTTCAATACACAATCTTCAGCACGTAATCTTCCAAAAGGGAACAGAGATAGGCTCCAGTGTGCCCCATTTGTAGCACATTGATAAACCTTGAAATCGACCGAAGAGTCTTTAATGAATCATTTTGTTAGTGACTAGGGCTTATTGGTGTACAGTGTGCAAGCATTCAAAATTAGCGGACTGAAATGATATCATGGTAGCAGTCGAGGAGGCAGAGTACTTTCGACCTACCGTTTCCGGCATTTCTCGTGTCGATACCCGCCGCGGATGCACAGATCTATTGGTATTCAGCTACATGAAATACGACGCTCTTATGAACTCATAATATCCGCACAACGATTTGTAAGTTTTAAAAAGAAATTTGCAGTAGATAAGAAGAGTTTTCGTCGTCCCAAAACCTATCTTCAGATTGCAATTCGATCTTTACTGTTCTATTTAAGGGAACGCAACTGTCGGTGCACTACTCGGTCAACAAACTCGTCGCATCCAAGATGCCACTTCCTGAACACCCACTAACAGTTCGTGGTGGTTGCAACTGCCGAGCTGTTCGCTACAAAATCCAAATTCCATCTCTCGGTGACAGACCTTTCCACCCCTACTTGGACAAGATCAAATCAGGAGAAAATGTCCATTTACCCATGATTGCCATCGACCATTGCAACGACTGTCGCCGTGCCACGGGTGCCGTACTCCCGCTTTGGCTTTGCTCACCAATCAATTACATTACATCCTCACTCCTTCGTCGATCTGCGGCGTCTCAGTCCCCAACAACTAAGGCTGATGGCGATAGCGACGAGGAGCATCGTAGAGGACCTTGGCTATCTGCCGAAGAAATATTTCGACCAGGATTATCAGGTGATGATTCGTTCTTGACGGCTTTCGTATCCTCCGACGCTCGCACGAGATACTTTTGTGGTCGTTGTGGGACAAATATCGGATATCGTATTAGTCCTATGCCGGAGGGGTGGCCCGAAATGCTCGATGTGATGATGGGAACTATCGATAAGAAAGATCTAGATTCGGATGCTATGATTCCTGAGAGGGCGGTTTGGGTGGATCATAGTATTGGCTGGGTGAAGAAATTGGCAAGAGAGGGTCTGGGGAACATCCCACAACACCCGCTCACGAATGTAAGTATACAGGCGCAGGAATAATGGAGACTGCATCGACTATAGTTTCCAAATCAGAATCACCGAACTTTGTTATCTTAAAAATGGACCCACTTTTAAATCTAATCTGTCAGGCGAACCAAAGTTTCACATTTTGCTAGTATTATGAACAGGCATTGAACGGGCACTAATCGTAGACCAGTATGTTATGTGATCAATTCGAGATTGAAAGCCAGTAGAGATGGCACCCAAATTCAGTCTATACGCCTCTTCACAATTATCCATCCAATCTAAACATGCAATACCTTGTACATTTTTGTTCCGCGCCGCAGTCATCATTCTTCAACTTTGGATAATTAGACCGAGCTACTTTTGTGGTATTGCGTCAATATTGACGCAATATCACAGAACTGATATGGAGGGACGGCTTTGCACTTTCTCGGCAGGTAGCTATCAATCCTGTGCCTATAAAATCCTCAGACGCTACTCCAAGGATGGGTAGAAACAGAGACCTGAACCGAGCATAGTCTAAAGAACCATCAGACCATTACTGTACCCTTTACACCGGATACTCTTTCGAAATGCACACTCCCACCTTGATTTTGACCTGGCTTGCCTTGTCTCCACTTGGCCTTGCTGCCCCAATCGCAAGTGAGAATGACCCCAAGGCCTGAGCTGAAGTCATTTGCCTCCTGATTTGCCAAAGCTAATGAATTTCTAGTCCCAGGGATTGAGAAGCCAAGATCTCCAGCTCCATCTATCCTTGAACCGGCTGTTGTTTCGCGTGAAGCCAATAATGAAAAGCCAAGATCATTAGCTCCGGCTATTCTTGGTCCGATTGTTGTCGCGCGCTCCGACTAGAAATAGTAAGTGCCTATGAAGATGTGTCTCCTTAGATATACTGATGAAACTTAGCTGCAGAACTTGAACCTGCACTTTTGGAAGAGGTATTAATATATGTGGCCATGAGCTATGATGAAAGAACAGTTTGATTATGAAGAGAAGCTACGTCTGCAGCTTGTGACAAGGACGATTATTTAGGTGCTTGCTTGTTGTGCAGTTATATCACTTGGGGATGGGGAACGGTCAGAAGATTACTAGTAGTACATTCCTTACACACAATTCAAAGTTTCAATTACCATGCCTAGAGACCTCAGCAAGTTGCGATGTGACACCATTAAAACAATCGGTAAAACTTGTGCCTTGGGCCGACTCTCCCTTTCAGCCAGACTGAGAACATGTTTTGCCATAATCTAATTTATCAATGGGCCTGCATCGTCGCTATCAAAATCTCCAAAGACCGCATGAATTTTCTCCAGTGAGGAGATCCTGGTGGACATAACTTGAATCTGATCAGTGTGTCGATTTCGCTGTTAGGCTGTATATCTCTCCAGCACGAGGTGTGATCGAGAGACCATGCTTCAAGCGCTCCCCAATCCCGACACTGTCGAGATTGGCCAGTTCCTGATTGACCTGGGTGTAGCTCAGAAGTATATCGTGGAGTATCATCGACGAAGCATATCACATCTTGTCTCAGCGTGTCAAGACAATACAAAGCATGCCCGAACGTGTAGCTCAGAGGTTTGTTGTCCCGTAACTCGTGCATCACAGAATACAGTATGACCTAAAAGCGCAAACTCTAGTTAGCTACATAGATTAATCGATTGGAAGGTGGGGGGGGGGGGGGGGGGGGGGGTGATCTAAATACCAAGCAGTGAAGGCTGTGATGGGCATTCAAGAAGAAAAGCCCCTTCCTATCATCCCAAGGGAATCTTTGAGCGCTGGGAAGTCCTAACGAGTCCGCATACTCATGGGTCAAAGCGATCGATCCCCTATCGTAGTTGATCGATGCCCACGCCTCATTTCTTAAGGTTTCATTATTGCTGTCAAATTCGTTGTGATGGTCGAATGTTTTTGGAATGTTCCACTCGAGATGTGCTGTTATAGTATACATCGAGATCATGACTGTGAAGTGTATGGGGCCATGACTTTTGCTTACCAAAACGCGTTGGATGCTGAAGATTTGTGGGCCGATCTTTAGTGGTATTTAATAGGTTTTGCATACCAATCAAAATGTTGATACCCACAGAGAGTATGAACAATGTTAAGAGAACTTTCCGAAATCGTAGGCAAGCCCGCTGAATCGCAATTCCCCGGGAGTCTACCTCGAAACTACTGTCTTGGCTAAACAGACGACGGTCTTCCCAACTGCCCCTCATTGCTAGCATTAATGTTAAAAATATTTGCAAAATATAGATGATTCAACGTAATTTTAGGGTTTGGAACTAGAGAATCCTCGGTCTATGTAAGATATTATTAATCTCAGAGCAAAAAAGTATTTCTTCCCATAAGGCTTCTACCCGGTGTCGCCACAAAGCTACACAAATAATCTTTCGCTTCGGCTTCTATTGAACGCACTGCAATTGCAGGTTGATACAGGGTGCGTCAATCGTGTTATTGCATGCAGCCGATGCGCACGGTGATATGTTCAGCAGGGCCGTCTGCATAGTGTAGGGCTGGTAAAAGGCAAGGGTATGACTACCGGGTATATTTTCAATACTGTATACACCTTCCATGTATTTTTGAAGATCTTTAGAATCTAGATAGAAATTATGTCCTTCAAAGGCTCAGATGCATGATACCATGACTTGATTGTTACTGAAAGGGCAAGTCGTATAATGAATATGACTTCTGGTTGGGCGTTGCCTTTGGAATTAGCATCAGGCCGTTCTGATACCCCATAACAGGCTCAGATACGAATGGTATTATCCGTCATCCAATAGGATAATCATATGAATGTTCAATCATAATAACATCATGCACAAAACTAGTACTGCTGATAAAATGTCTGAAACTTCTATTGATGCTATGCCTCATCTTGAATAATACATCAGAATAATACTTTTTTTATATAGTAATAACCCCATATAATATTATTTCATATATTAATACCCCAAATATCAAAAGTGTTAATTGGGGTTTAGTATATACTAATTCAGATCATTTTGATTTTATAAATATTACTATTTTAATCCCAATATATTTTTTATTTTTTATTTCTTTGATTTTTTGAATTTTTTATAATATCTAAAGGTTTTTAGTTTTTTTAATCTTTTTAGTTTTTTTAATTCTTTTAATCTTTTCAAAAATTTTAGTTTTTCAATTTTCCAATTTTTCAATTTTTGAACTCTTTTTAACTTTTTCATTTTTAATTTTTTTTAAAATATTTAAAAGAAATTCAACTTTTTTAAATTTATATTTTTTTTAATTTCTTGATTTTTTAAAATAATTTAAAAAAATCAGAAAATTCTATTTAGAAAATATTAAAAAAAAAGACTAAAATAATATTATTTTCAAAAAAAGTAAAGACTGAAATATCAAAAATATTATTTGAGATTATTTTAATTATATTCCTAACATTTGAGATATCAATACATGAAATAATACTATATAAGATTATTACCATTTTTTATAATACTAGAAATCTGCCATAGCTATTTTCCGATCATTCAGTACATGTCCTATGTCTAGCCAAGCCTTGCCATCCACAACTGAGAGTGCTAAGGCAGAATGTAGTCCAGGATTTATCGAGAATACACAACAGATAGTGGAATTAGGCTCAGGTTCCCAATGTTTTTATGAGCTTCATGGATCCGAAGACCCACAGAACTGGTCAAAATTTAGGAAATGGTCTATCATCGGCGTGATATCAGCCATGACCTTGGTCGTGTGAGTATTTCTTTAGCTCCTAGGCCTTCATTTATCTGTCATTCACTAACAGTGAGACTTTCAGTAACCTTGCTACAGGGATGTGTACTCCTGCGGCGCCACAAATCCTCGAAGAGATCTCGCCGAACGCGAGTAAAGTGTATATCAATATTGTGGTGTCCATTTGGGAACTCGGGGAAGCGTGTGGGCCTTTGCTTGCGGCTCCATTATCTGAGGTCTATGGCAGATATCCGATTTATCACATTGCAAATGTGCTTTTCGTTGTATTCTCCATAGCCGGTGCACTCAGTACAAACATTGGAATGCTTGTTGCCTTTCGATTTTTCAATGGATTTGCGGTGGCATCAATAACCTTAAACTCAAGCATAGTGGGGGATATGTTCATCATACAGGAACGAGGGAGAGCTATGGCAGTTATGGGGATTGCTCCACTACTCGGACCAGTTTCTGGGCCTCTGATAGGAGGTTACATGTCGGAGGCAATCGGTTGGAGATGGATATCCCGGTTCGTAGCCATTTTTTCTGGGGTTCTCGAACTCGCCTTCATACTGATCTTTCGGGAAACGTATAAAGTAAGGATTCTGAAATTGAAGATGGCGAAACGCCGCAAAGAATTAGGGGACCACGACCAGGGTCGTTTCCCCGCTAGTACCGAACTTACCAAGAAAGACTTCCTCCAAAAAGTTCTCATATGACCGGCAAGGATGCTTTCCCTCTCCCCGATGATCTTTCTACTGGCCGTAAATGTCGCAATGGTGTTCGGTTACTTCTACCTGTTTCTGACCAGCATTACGGAAGACTTTCAGGATATATATCACTTTTCCACGGGCGCTGCGGAATTAACATTCCTGGGAATGGGTAGCTATCAACTCGCATCGATTCAAATTTTATGAACTAACGTATCTCTCAGGGATTGGAATGACCTCTGGTGTTTTCGTATGCGGCGCTGTGCTGGACAGATACGTCAAGAAGATGAAGGCTTCTGGAAACATGAAACCTGAACATCGTCTCCTTGTCATGGTTATTGGTAGTCCTACACTACTAATCGGTCTGTTTCTCTACGGATGGTCAGCCCAGGGACATAATCACTGGATTGTTCCTGTGCTGGGAACCGCAATTCTTGGATTTGGAGTCGCTGTTACGATAGTTCCAACCTCCAGCTACCTTGTGGATGCTTTTGGCATTCACGTAGCCTCTTCTCTTGCAGCGATGGTCACTATGAGATGTGTTGTAGGAGCTCTTCCCCCTTTGGCTGGTAAGGCTTCCCTGCTTTGGTTGGTGAATTAATTCACGCCATTTCAAACATCATATACTTGAGTTAATCGAAGCCACTCACTATTTCATACCCATTTAAAACCACACCTTCTTGCTGCATAGATACTAATAACGGTACCTGTAGGACCAGCTCTGTATAATAATTTGGGTCTCGGGTGGGGCAATTCGGTTCTTGGCTTTGTAGCTTTGGTTTTCATGCCGGTCCCTCTCATACTTATGAGACGTGGAGAAAAGATTAGAATGAAATCGAACCTTCAGGTCACATTCTAAAGGAATGATGAACAGCTGAAAGGGCATCATTCAACCTTTATTGTCGATCTAGTGTTGACAGGTAGATTGAATTGCGCTCGGACACCTTGAAGCAGGCCAAAATTACGAACTTCCTTCTTGTACTACAAGAATTTAATGGGAAAGAATGAAAAGAGAATGCACTGTGCCTGTCCATGTACTGCACCAGTTCTTCAATCCAAATCTACTACAGTAGTAACGGTAATAGTGACATCTAGCTTGTTCTTAATATCCCCGGCGTCCTTGTACGAAAATAGACCGATAAAACGATTTGTCTTTGTTATGGGTGCGATTCTCACGAATTGCAACGGTTAGGATCGTGGCGTTCTTGAGAGGCGGGGCTCTCAACTTTGCGCAGTCAGAAATCCTTCACCATGAAGTGTGCCAATTCGACATACGTGTTCCCTGAGCTTTTAGTTCTTCTCACAAGGCTGCTGCATCTTTCTAATATAAATTTCTCGGTCGAAATACCGTCTTCTTCTTGAGCTTTATCGCCCAGATCGATAACTATGGCTTCGAGTAGTTGCAATATCGAGAAAGGAATGATGGAACATATAGTCCATATTAGAACATAACATACCAGCTTCTTTATGTTATTACTATTGAAATCAATGCAATCTAGGATTCGCTTATATATTTCGAATAATATCGGAGGAGGCGAGTGTAATGCTTTGCGGATTGCTTTATCGTTATCTAGTCGACATAGATAATCGAGTTGGCATGTTACCCAGCGAACTAAAAGGCCAATGTTTTCTTAGTCCAAATAAGTTATAATTAGGCTGAAATAGCTTACACATTCCCGTTGGATGATTTCTTCTTTAAGCTTCTGTTCATCTTGGAGAATTAATCGTTCATCACGCAAGCGAGTTTTCATCTCCGAATGAACATAGAGTTCCAGATCGTTTCTGTATGCCGCAATCGAAAAATTTGAAAACTCTTCCGAATGCTGCTAAATATCGGGCTCCGGTCGCGACGCCAAGATGATTTTGATGTTACTGTTTCTGGTAGTATTAAGCTTAGCTAGTAGTCGTATAGTATTTGAACGGTCATCTCTGTATTCATTTAGAGCATCAATAATTAGATGAACATTGTCGAAGTGGCACGATAAATGTCCAAGTAGTTCATACAGACGCTCTACTGACATTGAGTTTGAAAGCTAATATCATTATTCGGACAATGATTGATTCAGCAAGTCTCTAACTTCGCAAATCCATGTCTGTTGGCCAATATAAGTTGTTTAATTACAGATTCTAAAATATTTATAGGATTTTATGTTTTTAAATCTTTATAATTGTAATAGAAGAATACCACATCTGGTAGAATAAAGGGTGTTTGTTAGTTGAAGATTATATATTCAAATGAAGTTGAGGATTTTATTATAAAGTCATTCATATTGCGATTTTGATTACGTAGTGATAATCAATAGTCTAATGACTGTTTATACACCATTAGATTTAGTCGATTTAGTATAATAAATCGGAGGTATTAGGGAGGGTTCAATATAAACAACTCTAAAGCCGCTCTGTTAGCGTTTTAGAGATATATATAGAAAGCTTCTATAGACCGGAGTTCAATAGTTTTAGATTCCCTATAGTGATAAAATTAATATTCTGAATGAAGAGGAATTCAATATAAATCCTTATATAAATTTCTATTTTGTATATTATAATTTTAATATATTTATTTATTAATAATAAATAGAGCTTTTTATTATTAATAAATCAAATTGATTCTTTTTGTAACCTGTTTATTATTGAATTTTAATAAGAAAAGAAAATAAGGATTTCAAAAGGTCTTAGAGACTTTAAGATTTTCAAATATTAGTATTATAGGGAAGGTGTATTAGAGTGTGTACAAGGTGACGACTAGTATAGAATATAGATATAGGCCTAATAATAAGACTTTTTATTAATTTCTTTAAAAACCTATTTCTAAAGCTATATATATATATATATATAAAAACTCTTTAATATTGAAATAATAATTGGCCTGATATTGATTTTATATTGATATCTATAATAAAGCTTTCTTTCTCAAGATTTTTGTTTTTGAAAGCTTTAAAGCTATTTAATAGTTAATTACTATAGAATTAATCTTTTTTTCTAAATTTTATTAAATTTGTTGGAAATCACATGTGTAGTATGTGTGTAGTACATGTATATCACTATAAAACTCCTTTTTCAGACTTCCCGGATATATAGATTTAATATATATATTTAATATATTATTTGTTATATATAACTTATTATTTATTTCTAACAAATTATAAGTACTGTATTATAAAAAGCTTCTTTTTTATCTTTTTTATAATATATTTTAATATGAAAATTTATATTATTCAAATATAATAAATTCGATTTTAGTTAAATCAAAGTATGGATCTTTTATTATCTTTAAAAACAATAATTGAATAGATTTTTATAAATATATTACATTTACAATATTAGGAGCTAATATATTAAGAATATATACAAAAGAAGAAGAGATATTAGTAGGCTTTCACTTAGAGATTATAAATTGAAAGAATAAGAAAGAAATTATTATCAGTATTATTAATTCCTATTTAACCCTAATATATTACTTTCAACTAATATCTTTATTTATAGTAAATAATCTTCTAAATATTTAAATAAAGCTATTAATATTCAATAATATTATAAATCCTTAATATATCCAGACTCTTTAAAAACTATTTATTTATAAATAATTCAATCCAAAAATAGAAATTATTTAAGTTTTCCTTAATTACCTTATTAAATATAAATATAAAATATCTAAAATAAAGTAATCTATTATTGATATAAACGTTTATACTTAGTTTTTAAATATATTATTAGATATAGAAGTTTGATAGATATAATATAATTTCATTATATTTATGAATATAAATCTTTAAGATATACTATATATTTTATAGTAAATTAAGAAAATTCCTTAAATTAATATAAACTTTATATTAGTTTATATTATATAAAAAGTCTTTTAGGGATATAAATTAAAGAAAGCTTAAAAAAGAAAAGGATTTAGAGGTTATAGAGAATATCAAGAAAATAATAGAGAGATATATTTATTAAAGATTAGCAAAATTATTAAAATAAATAGTTCTAATTATAACTTCTATAAAAAGATTGTTTTATTTATATTAAAGTTAAAGAAGTAATAAGAAATGATAAGATAGTTAATAAAGGCTCTATATATAATTATTATATATTTTATAATAATAAATTCAAAATATATTATTTCTTTTTATTTTGCTAATACTATATATATATAAATATTTAATAATTATATATAAATACTTAATTCTAGAGTTTTCTATTATTTTATTAGTTTATTTATAAATTTTCAAAATATTATATATTAGAATACTTTTTAGTATATAAAAACTATAAGTAATATAAATATTTTCAATATTATCTTTAAAATAATTATAATTAAGAATCTTACTCTAAGAGATATATAGTATATTAAGGATTTCGAATTCACTTATCTTATATCAATTGAAATACTTATATTAAATAAATAAAAAGTTATATTTGAAAGGGACTTAATTTCCTACTAGAAAAATAGATAATTCAAAATATCTATAAAAAGAATTAATAAGAATTATATTATTAGATAATCTTTTATTCATTATATCTATATAATTCACTTAAATTCTGAAACTAAAAATATTAATCCAAATAATAATAAAATAGAGATTATATATTATTAACTTAATTATCTCAATTATAATCAATTAGAGAAACTAAAGAAAGCTTCAAATAATTTTTATTATATTGAAAAAAAAGGAAAATTATTAATTGAAAAGTTTGTAAGCTATATTTTACAAAAAGAATAAATAGGTATTTTAATAAGTATACTATTATTTATATTTCTATAAGATTATATTATCTTTATATAGATCTTTTAGGAATTCAGGAATTCTTAGAGAATAATAATAAATACTTTATTCTAGTTATTAATAATATAATTAGAATTATATAAATCAAATATATAAAAAATAAGTTTATGAATATTATTATATTTATATTAATAAATTTAATTAATCAAATTGAAAAAGAGTTTAATTCAAAAGTTATTATAATCAGAGTAGATAATAGTAGAGATGAATTTGGATAACAATTCTAAATAAGAATTTCAAAAAAAGATTTAATCTTTGAACTATTATTATCAAAAAAATATTCTATAAACAAAGTTATAAAAAAAAGATTTAAAATATTAATGTAATATTTAAATTATTTGTTAAAAGGAATAGAAGTTACCGGTACTAATCACGTGCTGTGATTAGTAATACGGTTACCTAAACAGGCTAGATTAGACAAACTATAGATAGATATATTAGTTCTCTCCGAGGGGAGCAAGTTAGAATTAAGATATCTATATGTATAGTAATATAATAAATATAGAGATCTCTTTTATTTAATCTTTTAATAGGTTATAAGTTTGATTAGTATAGTCTCTGAATATAATTGATATAGTTATTATTATAATCTAACTTATAAAGTTGAAGAATATATAGTATTACTCTATGACTAGTATATAATGCTATAATTACTATTACTATTAATTTGTAAAATTGAAAGAGTATATAATATTATTTATAAACAAAATATATATAATATAATAAAAAGGTATATAATACTAATTATATTTATATTTATAATCTATATGAATTTATTTATATAGAAAAAGGAAAAAAAAAACCTTGTAAATTCTTTATATAGATATCAAAATAAATAAAATCAAAAAGTAAACAAAAAGTATTCTAAATCTTATTTAAAAGATTTATAATTAATAATTTCAATAAATAAAAATATAATTAAAAGAAAAGAATTGATTTTATATAATTGAATTTATATTATAAGAGTATACTAAGGTTAAAGAAATTAGAATAAAAGTTAATAATATTAAAGTTTTTCTAATTCTCAAAAAAAGCAAAGTTATAAATATTAGGGTTAATTTAAATAAGAAAATCAAAT